CCCCTCAAATTACAAACATAAGAGCGTGTCTTTTTTGGAGAGTGCCTTAGTTTGGTGGTTTGACATGAACACCAAAAGGAAAACCACCATTGTTGGGGTCCCCTACGAAAAAATATGTTGGACCCCAAGTTGGCCTCTTGAGGGCTTCTGCGTTTGAAGGGGTCTCCCACTTTTGCTTTGAACCCGCGCTGTCGCGCTCTTGTCTCACCCGCAGGCAATGCCACCTCGCGGTGAGACTGGCCGCCATGAATAGTCGGCCACGTCCTCTGCGAAGCCCAGTGGCCCATGGGACAAACCGGGGGTTCTGCTTTGTCGTTTTGGTTGGACCTGTTTCAAGGGACACCCCCCTTAGTTTGCCAGAATCAAGCAAAGCTCTGACTCTAACAGATGAGACTAGCTTCTAGAGTTCGCCATCTTGAAGTCCGAAAGACCACAAAGGGAGCCACCAGGCACCCGGGTAGGAGCAACGGAAGCGAATCCTCTCGCTCCAGGTCCGAGTGATACATCTCACCATGATCGAAGTATGCAAATGTCAGCGCCGAAGAACAGCGGACCCTCCCATCAAGTGCCCAAGGGCCCAAGGGTTTCCACCCAAGCTCCGTCTGGCGGAAGGCTCGGCCATGCGCGCTTCGAGTCGTCTCAGGCTGCGCGTGCGTGAGGAAGCTCGGCACGCCTGGCTGCAGAAAAAGGTACCCCCACCATGTATATATATATATATGCTTCCCTCTAATTGGTGGTTTGGAGCCGAATCGGTTGTTTGGTGGTGAAGTGAAATGGGTGGTGTCGAACCTACCCTCTACAAGAGCAAGGGCTCAAATCCAAATCCAAACCACCAATGAAGGAAAGCTGAACTGGGTCTGAAATAGGAGGTCTAGAAAACAATAAAATACCACAATACCTGCAGCCTCCATTGATACGTTAATTTTGCTCGAAATATTTCTGCTCTTGACAACCTGTTCTAAAATAAATGTACGATTCAACAAAAATTGCTCGAGTTGTCAGCAATCATGCGCCCGTCGGAACCCATTCCCTGTACCATGTTTGGGATTTTCGCTCATTTGCACATGTTTGCACTTTTTTGCGCCGATTTGCGCTCGTTTTGCACTTTTGTGGCGCTCGTTTCGTTCCAAACTCTTCCCAAACTCGCGCCTGTGAGGGGATATGAAACTAGAGAACTTGATTTCTGCTCGAATCCGAAAAAAATGCTCGAAAGCAATTGTGGAGGGAAAAACACTACAACGTGTCAACTTGTGTATCGAACCAGGGGGGAGGCATAATGTTTTGCTATGATGGAGGCTCCAGGTACCAATCGCTTTTGGTTTGTTTGGGGAACACCGAAGAATTTTGGGTGACTTAACAGCGGGGCATTGGAGAGTTCGTTGCTTCTTGCACAGGGCAGCCAGCCCAGCGGTGGGAGCAGGCTGCAGTGCCCGAAAGGCCACTTATCCATTCATCCGATACTATGTTAATGTAAGAGCAACCGTCTCCCAACTGGGATGTTCAGAAAAGGGATGACTGCTGGCGGAGGGCGGACAGACCCAAGCTGTATCAAGACTAGTTGAAGCCTTTTGTGGTGCTGTTCACCTCCACAAACATGGTCTTCACCTCTGATTCATGGTCGCTTGCCAAGTTTGATCAGGCCTCCTTTGGGCGAACTTTCTTTCGAATCCTGAGTGGATTAGCCTTTTCAGAGTCCAAACTATTTAGTAAACAGGTCTTCCCAAAAAGTGGCTAAAATCCAAAAGCTCAGGAAGTAAATTCTTTCTTGGGATCTGTTTGACATACTGGCCTTCGCTGGGTTTGTGGTTGGTGAACCCTGGCAGAGTCCCTTTTGGATGAACCGTATTGTTTGGGGAAGCGCGGGGCAGCTACAAAGGGATCCCGTGACAAGGTGAGTGAAGAGATTATCATTAGGGCAAAGGGTGGTGGGCAAAGGTACCCGCAAAGATAGCTTGTCTTACGCCAGTGATCCGCAGCGTAAAACGCAGCCTGCTTAACGGCACTTGCATTCAGCAGAAATTGCAAATGGCAACTTTCATGGCACGCAATATGGCCATGGGTCAAAGTCCCGTACCCCCAGTGAACATCCCAATCCCCACTAAACAGGTTCTAAAATGGGTGGTGCACCTACCTAAAAATGGGATCCCATTGGTTTTGACAATCATGCCCACTCGCCTTTGAAACGGGCACGCGCAACCGCGGCTGCCGCAGTTCTGCGGATTGCCACGTGCGTGTTGGGACCCTCGTAGTTGTGCTGTCGGATTTCGCCGACTGCATCCTTCAAGACGCTGTCTGCAGTTGCCATGTGTTTTTGGACCGCCTTGATGTTCTCCCCAGACTGCCAGACACTGATTCTGGCACTGGACTCAGTGAACTTGCGGTTCTTCGAGCTCTCTTCTGCGCCAAGGTCGAAATGAAGCGCGAACGTTCTACCAGAACAAAAAATCCCTCCAAACAACAAACAACAATCACAGCTGGGGTGTTCATCACCCCCTGCCCAAGAACAACAATTGCCCCGAACAAGAGAGGTTCACATTTGATCTGCCCTGGGAACCGATCAGGTCAAAGCAACTCCAGCCAGTAGCACAAACATCACAGCCCTTCTCAGGTTCTTCAGCCTTGCCGGGGAGTGCCTTTTGGCTTTCTCTTTGCAAGCAAGCCGGCCTTGGCCTTAAGAGCCTGCACTCCAGAATTGGTTTAACGTAGAAACAGAAACACATCATTTTAGTGAGGAGACTGCTGGCTCACTTCCAAGTCCAATCCTGTTGCGGCTGAAATGGTCTTCCCCAAAAACCTGGGAGCCCATGAACTCAAGGAGTGAGTCAGGGAAGGACCACATCCTGTCCTACCCAAAAGACCAAATGAACAACTCATTCGAAGTTGGCCCAAAAGGGAACATGTGTTTAACAATTTGGGTGTGTCCTTTTTAGGCACCCTCCCCCCCCCAAAAAAAGTTAAGAAATATGCTGGTCTTCCTCCTGAAAACCACGGTACCCTCGAAGAAAACCAACACACCCATTTCAATTGTGAAGTATAGGGACCCCTGGACCCATAGACTGACCTAGGGTCTTTGGCGCGCCCCCGCGCCTAAAGCACTGCCCGCGGCACGGGGTTTCCGCCGCCGAGCCAAGAGCTGCGATGTCGAGGAGGTCGAGCTCGCCTCTGCCCCCAAGTCGTAGAAACCAGCAGGAAATCCAACAAAAAGGTAAAAAGTTATCCAAGGTGGGTTGGTGGGCTGGTGTGGGCAACTGGCTTGGTGGGTGGCTTGGTTGGCTAGTTGGTTGGCTTGCTGGCTGGCTGGCTGGCTGGCTGGCTGGCTGGTTGGTTGGTTGGTTTCATGAAGATCGCGTGTACTTCATGTGCCTGGGTTACATGATTGACTCAAACAGGTAACAAAACAAGCTGTCCGAGTCAACTGGCCAGAGCAAGATAGAAGCCTTTTGGTGCACTTCAATGGCGACTGTTGGAGGCCTCAGTTCGTCTTCTGCTTTCCCTGAAAGACGCTTGTGCCAAGATCACGTGTCGACCGAAAGACATCGGCTTCGCAGGCTGTAATGGTTGTCTGGGTAAGTTGTGGTAAGCAAGGCACGAAAAAGAAAAACATAACATGCAAACAAACAAACAAACAAACAAACAAACAAACAAACAAACAAACAACGAAGCGCGACATGGACATTTATGTGGGGGGCGGATGAGTTAGGAATCAGAAAATGGGCATCGGTGCCCTCTATATCACTTCAACCTAGTATACCAAGACAGAAAAGTGCATACGTATCTGTGCATCCGGGTCTCAGGGCGCGTGAAGATGCCAGTCAGCAGACCATCCTGGGTCGGGGAAGCTGCTTCATTTGCATCCATGTCAGGCTTGGCATTTAGATGTTCAAGCGCAGGGTCCAAAAAACCATCACTAGGGCAACTGGGGTAACCTCACTGAGTGCATGGCCCCCAAACAAGTCCAAGCTTTTGGCTTGCCACTGGGGGGTCCCAAAAAAGTAACGAAAGTCCAGGAAAAACTTCGGCCACTCGGAGAACTTCGGCCGTTCACGGCCCAAAACCAACAGCTCGAAACGAAGCCTGCGAAGTGGGATGAAGTGGGTTCGGTTTGCCAAGTCCATTGAGGCGAAAGGACCCGGGTCGGGACACCAAAAGGGATGCGGTTGATATATATGTATATATACATATGTATATATGTATATACCTGGACCAAGTAAGTGCCTTAAACAATTCCCTGAAACATGGGTTATTGCCCAAAATTATGAGTGATGTCCATGTTTTCTGGGTAGTGTGAGGGTCCAGGTTTGCATGTATTGTTATTTATGTATACATTCGCATTAATTATTATTTTTGGCAACTGAGTCTTCCAAAAAAAAGATTGCGGGAAAGACCCCGTCACACAGCTTCCTTCCAATTGGTGGTCAGTGGTCTGGAGGTCATGTGCTGTTTTCCACATTTTCCCTCTAGGCAACCCGAAACCACCAATCCAAACCACCGATTGAGGGGTACCTGAGTTAAGAGCGCCATTGTTTAAGTGCGGTGATTCTTTCTAAAAAGGCAAAGCATCCCAAGCTGGCATTTGGACTTGGATGGACAGCTCGACCAAAGGCTCATGATAAAGCCCAAAGCAAAACAAGATCCAACACAGTGGAATTCCTCGCACTCAATGCCTTCACAAGCCTTGCAATACAAACACAATGCGAATCTCCAACAACAGATCCATGCATTCATCATGCGAACAAGAAACAAAACAAAACAACTGTCAATTCGCCCCGATCTACCTGCAGGAGCAACCGACTTCCGCCCAGTGAATTTTGCCTTCTTTTCTGGCTTCTGACTTCCTAACATCACTTCCTGACTGGATGGCCACCAAAAGTATCTTGCCCCAAAATGGCACACAGCCAAAAAATGACTAAACTCCGAAACGGAACTCAGGGAGTGAGTAACCTTCCTAGGGGTCGGTTCAACCCGAACATCGTCGGTCTTTAAGTTTCCTGCCGAGAGGCTCACAGGTCTCCGGTCTGAAGCCATTCCACCTCGTCCGGTTCATCCTGGTGGAATCGCAAGGCCCTCCCCCCCGCGTTTTATCTGTAGACCCAGTTGCATGCTTTGCGATGCTTGGACACCAAGCCTGTCGCCTCAGAAAGGCGAAAAGGCGAAATGACGAGTGGTGCTTGGAACCATGTGAAAGAAAGGACAGGGTGTCTCCGAACCTCAAAACAATAACCGCGCCACATAAGCAAACAACAACAACACCCACAAACGAAACCTCCGAATGGCATTGGCATCAAGCATTTCTGGCTCGGTCTTGCATATATGCAGAGGGAAACTAACCAACTATGCAGAGGTGTTGGCTAACTTCCTTCAGAAATTCATGGCTAACAAACAACTGAACAACAGCACCCGAAATTTGGAGCTTCTCTTGGCTTCGCGGATTCCTGGCATCTTTGCACACCCTTTGACCAATGGGGGTGCGCAAAGCCCGTAAGTGAAAGACTATGTTACTTCTACAAATGGTTGTGCACATTCGTGTCTCGTGATGGAACGCAAGTTGAAAAGGATAATACATGCGGAGGTTGTGCCATTTAGCTTCTACACACTCACACACGCACATTTTCGCGATTGACTCCACTGCAATAAGTGAATGAAACCATCTTAGTCGCTGGGCGGTGCTGGCCGCCATGAGGATTCAACACATTGTCATTGTCTGCTCATCTTTGAACAAAAAATCATAGACGCTTCTGAGCCATCACCAGCAGCCAATGTTTGTTTATGTACATGACACACCATTTGGGTTCGAAATAGGGTCAGCTCCAAACATCTGCAGTTGCCCTGTGTCCTGGGAATTTCCGACCAACTCACCTTGCCTTCCGAATCCGGGACTTGGGGGCCCAACGAAATCCCAGCACACCACACATGACCCTGCGGCTCAACCCCCGTCAAAAGAAAGGTTGTCCCAATTTGGATGATCACAATCCTTAGGAAAGCCGTGGTGGTCAAATGAACCCTGAACCCCGGGTTAATCAATCCCCATTGTTTTAATGATGGTTTGAACCCCAGGCACGAGCCGTTGTCAAAACTGTTGAGATAGATAATAATAGCAGTTTAAGTTTAAGTTCCAATCGAAGAATCCATGACCAGCCAAAGTAGCCCGAACTGATTTGATACGCAGTCCCCCCTCCTGCGGATTGCCATTGATGCACACCCTCATTTCCTCTCAGCCCAGTCACCAAGGGAAGCAAACAAACAACGGCACCAACCTTCCCATGTCAATTTCACTTGACATGCTGGAATAGTGGCGAACGACACTACTTGGACCCGGCCCAACATGGGGGGGAATCCCCATTTTTGCTTGCCGGATGTACAGGAAACACAATCCCTTGGCAATCAAGAAAAACAAATGCCGGATGTAGAGGAAATAAAATCCCTTGCTCATCAAAACATGGAAAGCAGGGCCGAGATCCAACAACATGTTGCCAATTTTGGAGGTCCAACAAAAGCGAAATTGAGGCCCTGAGAAACCCTCCAGAAGAAAGTGTTGCTCCTATTTCCCGACCGGTTGCAAGCATAGGTGGCCTTTTGGAAAAATAGATGGCCCTGGTAAATAGAAAAAAACACATCTAAAACAGTGCCATTTAAGTGGATCGTCTCTGATTTGGGGGGTCCTGTGCACCAGGATCGTATCGTCGGTGCAAGGCCGCGCGAAGGTGCTCCTGCGGATGCGGGCCGTCACTGCCGCCGACCTTCTCACCAAAGCTTGTGTTGTTTCTAGTGGTTTCGGGCGTGTACCCTATGTATTTGTACCCTCTACCAAAACTTAATTAGGGTTCAAATCAAAACCTAAGCCACCGATACAAACCACCAATTGAGGATTACCCGAGTCATAATCAAAACCGATCGGTAATAACATGGCCTACCCAGAGCCATGCTTCAGGAATTTAGAAGACGGCGAAGGCACTCATTTATGGTTGGGATTGTCCCTTACTACCGGTCATCTTCATTTTGTTTCATTTTGGCTCATATGAGCCAGGGTCAAAACTGCGCTTGTATGGCATATGGTCATGACTCCTTCATTAGGAATCAGTACAACCGTCATTCAGGACCCGCGCCACCAGGTGGATGCCCTTCCCTGTTTACCCCCAAACAAAAACGATCTTTCGAAGATGGCGCATATCTTACAGGATGATGCCGCCCCAGTGGTTTCCCTTGTGTGCTACAATAGGACTCTTGGTTCCAACTCGAAGGACGCGAATCCTATGGGACCCCCAAAACAACTAGGGCCTTCACCCATGTAGGTGTGTCTATTTGGAGAGTAGCTGCTGTTTTTTTTTGCCGTTTTCAGTGGCAAAAGGCAAACCAGCCTATGGGTACCTGTTGGCCTGTTGGGAAAGTTAAAAGGATGCCCACAACAACGGGGGGGTGAAAGACGCCTTTTAGGTCTGAACCCTTCAATAACTCGCGCCTAAGTCTAGGGGTTGATTCTATGAGCTTCCCTTGTCCTCTATTGAGAACCATGAGTGCTTCGAGTATAGGGAATCAACTCGTGTAGAGCTTCTCTGCTTAGAACTGCTCAAATCGTTGCCTAAGGTAGACCCGGTCTTCTCAGGTAGCCCTTTGGTGGTTTGGATCGGCTGTGGGATGGAAAACTCCAAACCATCGATTCGGCTCCAAAACCCACTTTTTCCAGGGCATTGGCCCACTTAACGAGAAGGATCCCGAGAACAGGGAAGGTACTGCTAGAAAAAGGGCAAGCCAGCCTACGGCTGATTCGCCACCTCAATTCGGATCAGCCTGTGTTGGCAACCCCCCTTCGGTGGCTTACAACAACCCCACTCTGGCCCCTACTGTGGATGGACGAAATCCACTTCGCACCACCTAAAAAACCCTGGAATGAGGATTCTCCTGTAACTACCTGCAAGCAACGGTTTCTCATGGTTTCAAAGCGGTGCAGGATTTCATCCATCCACAGTGTGTCGGAAAATAGACAGGTACCTAGGCAGGGAGGCACTCAGATGTCTGCTCAATCTGATGTCATCGTCTTGCCCCAACACACAAATTTCAATTGGTTTGCTGCACAGACCCCGTTGGCAGACAACTAATTATCATTTCGGAAAAAAAACGGGCCGTGCACTTCCATATGTGTTGGTGCGAAGGTGTGTGCTTTTTGTCTTTGATGGGAAACGGGAAACGTGTCATTGAGTTTCAGCAAAGGGACACAGGTGCTATATACAAGCCTCTCATGGTTCCCGAAAGCCTGACAACCAATGCTAGCTGCGTTACATGTCCAAACGCGTTTTGATTTGCTGTCAAAGTGGCAAAGGGGTTGCAACGCTCCCCAAACCACGCGAGGCTTCCGGAACCTTTTGGGGCAAAAAACCGAAAGCGTGGATTCGATGGCTGCTTTCTCTTGGAAGCCCGCAAAGGCCTCCAGGTGTATGGGAAACCGAACCTGGGTGTTCCCAGATGCTAAAAGGTTCACTTGTGGATAATGGGAAAACCCCACCAAACCCTAACAGCATTCCCAAAACTAAAATTCTTTCGCCGGAAACATACGCTCCTGTCATCAGGGTGGTCGTGGAAGAAACCCTCATTCATGCCTCAGGTGGCAGAGAGAGACAGAGAGAGAGTCCTCCAGACGCCAGGGGAAAACAACATGATTTTGGCGGGAACCCGCCCAACAATTCATTAGCAACAAAGGCACCACTGGAGGTCCAGGCAGTGTCCTGGCGCCTCTTATCAATCTCAGAGGCCCCTTTGTGTGACTTAAAAATAACAAACCTTACGATATCTGTGATTCTTGTCAACCCATGGACCCAGTGCTTACTTAAAATGAAAAAGAACAAGAAGTCAAATGTGAAGATGGGTGAACCATCCGGGCCATACCCGTTCAAGGCCTTTGGGCACAGGCCGAGCCTTCCGAGGTAAAGGTCTGGCCCAATGAACTCGCATCAGCCTGGTGGAGTATCTGTTTGTGAATGATCTAAGTAGACTCTGAATCACGTAAATTTCCAATCGCCAGCGCTTCCCTTCACCTCATGAGCTCAGGTACCTCTTAACTGGCGGCTTGGTTTGGTGGTTTGGTGGAGTTAGCGGTGGTGTTTCATTTATCCTGTACAAGAAGCAGAGGTTCAATTCCCCAAACCACAAATCCAAACTGCTAATTAAGGGCAAGGTGATAACCATCCCTTGGGAAGCAATGGAAGCGCATCTTGGCTTCGTAAAGCCGCGATGCGAAGGGTTTGCCTCAACCATTTCACCCATAGTTCTTGTTAAAATCCGAAAGATGGAGGTATTGAAAGAGGCATCAAAAAGATAGATACCTCCTTTAGGCGTGTCAAGATCGACCTGTTTGAGACGCATCAAATGCATGTCCTCAAATCCGCCGAAAGCATGCTATGAGTGATTTTAAAATATATTGGATGATTTAGGGCTGTTGTTTTGTTTGTGCTGGTAGCCTTTGAGGAATTGGTTTGAAGGGCAACCAATCGGATGTCACTCACCAGTATTGTGGGTCGTCTTTGGTCCCCTATTTGAGACAATCCCGCCCACTGCAAAAGGTTCCACACACCCCGTTGACAACCTTTTTAACCTTATGCTCTAGTATCGGTCAGCACCGGCTCTTCCTCTACGGATAGTTGAGTGTGCCCTAAGTCGTTGGTGTGGCCGCCTAACACGCATAGGCCAAGCAGGCAGCAGGCATTGGCGCCCGGATTTGCTTCGCGTGTTTCACTTTCAGAACTTGCGGAGTTGGGGTGAAGATAGAACACCAAAGACACGGAGTGCGGTTAGGGCGACTGGGCATCGGTTGAGTATCGGTTCCGGTCCAGTTTCCCACCCTGGAACCTCTGTTAAGCGACAATTGCGGGCTTTATCCATGCCTCGTATAGCTACAAGAACCCAAAGACTATTCGAACCAATTGTGTCTTCATGGCTTCTGGGGGTATCGTGTCTTTTTGCCTTGAGGGACGGCCCGTTGCAGAACGAAAAGGCGCGGGGTTGGAACACCTGCAAAACAACAAGTTCACAGGTCTCTGGAATTGACACCCACTGTACCTACTATCCCGAAACAAACAACACAAGCAGCAAGCACAAAGCTGGGCCCGTTGGGTTAAGGCTAAGGTCATTCAAGACCCTAAGTCAGAATGTGGCAGCATCTAATCATGCATCTTCCCGTATCTATTCAAACGCACAGCTAAATGCCAGGCTGTCGAATCCCTTTTGCAAGACAATTTGGCATACCTGCCAGAGAAAACCTACACACGACTTGCAGGTAAAAAAACGGCAATCAAACATGGCTTCAAGAAGGTCGTCTGAAAAGAACGCCCCTATTCTGCCCACACGACAGCCCGGCAAAAGTCGTGTGTCTTCTGCCTTTATCCTCATATCCTCATAGACTTGATGGAAGCACTGCCTTGGCATAGAAGAACGAACTCTTCCTTGCAGACCCCACCATGAACATGAGCTGAGTTCCAGTTGCCCGGTGATCCGCACGGTAAAATCGAACCCTTGCCGGAATCGAACCCTTGCCGGGGTCGAACCCATGAGTGGCAAACCAAAAGGGGCAAAGGAGTGCTGCAAACCGTCCACGGGAATCAAGGGCCAAGGGCACCCCCTCCCACAAAAAGGAAACAGGACATGCCCCGCGAGAAGTCTGAGCCGCTGAAGGAACAAACACATCGCCCCGTCTGCACAAAATAACTGTACATATGGGTGTGCCTTAATCAAAATATAGGGACCCCAACACATTGTGCCTTCCTTGTAGCTAAGAACCTTTTTAAAGATCAAGGAACCGGACCAAGGAAACCGACTCCGGGAGGTTTATTCGGACCAAAGGCGTCTCACATCGGTCGCCTTCCGCCAGTCGAGCAGCTCACGAAGCGCAGGTTCTCCAAGGGCGCAAGCCAAAAGCCCAGCGACACGTCCGCGGCTCCGCGGGACTTGAGGCGCCGTGAATTGCGCCCCAAGTACCGCACGATCCTCCGCAAAAAAGAAAACAACGAAACAACAACGGAAAACAAAAAACAACCAAAATCGGACGCTCCCCACTTGACCCGGGTTAGAAAGCTGTTGGTGACCCGTGATCAGGTCTTTGATTCTGGTCGCACGGCACGGAACCTGGGAAGCGCGCGAGCCATTCTGAATTGGGTGACCTGACCTGTTGGAATGGGTTCTGACGCACACACAAACATACATGTTCCTTCTGCGCAAGCGATCGGAGCCCATGTTTGTAGAACCAAGAAACCGGTCTCCTGACGGAAGGCTGATCCCCCATGCGCTTCATCAGTCGGAACAAAATCTCCCTGAGGTGTTTGGCCACTTTCTGCCAAGAAGGACCCTGGAAATAGTGCCGGAAGTAATTACAGCAAAAGGCAATCGGATTTGATTGGTGGGCTCACGCCCTCCACCTGTGGAGGGACGAAATCCTGCACCTCTTTGAAACCAGCACCACCGTGCAGAAACCCTGGAATGGTATGATTCCCATGTAGATATCAACAAACAATGGTTTCAACAGTATTATTGCTTCTTACACACTATTATAAAGGCAAGCGGGCCGTCTTCCATCTTTTCACGAACCCGCCGCACTTGAAACTAGGAAAAGACATCGACATGGGTTGAGACCAAGAATGGATTGGACATCTCGTCTTGGGGCTCGCCTTACTGGCTTGGTATTCAAACTCCTGGAGCACAAACTTATTGTTTGCTAGTTGGTTTGCTGCTTATTCTTATTGTTATTCTTATTCTTGTTCTTCTCTTCTTTCTACTAGAACACTGGGCTCGAGGCTTTTTCGCCCGCACGTCCACACATGACGTACAACATGAAGTGAAAAGGACCTCTTCAAACTTACAAGTAAAACATGCCGGCGCCCAATTCAACTCAAATTTCAAGAAAAGTCAACTGTCACGTTTTACAGGGGTCCCAAAGCCGTTGATTCTAGATTCAGATTCACAAACTCGTGGTAGAACTTTCTGCAAGTGGCCAGTTTGCACAGGTGACCTTTTGGACAACTTGATGGCCCTAGGAATCAAACTTCAATCTAAACCGGTGGAATCCATCTATTTCTATCCAAAGCTGAAAAAGGACCACCTGTGCCAAAAAAAATGGTTCTGGGCACTCACCCAATTTCACGTCGAGAGCCCCAGGGACTATGGCGATATGGCTGTGGGTCAAAATGAAACCACCAGAAAAACCGCAGCTTTTAGTCGATGTCTCTTCTTACAAGGGCAAGCCATTTTGGGGTTACCCTACTTTTGACCAGCCACATGATTGCACGACCCTAGGAGCTCAAGACCTCATTTGTTGAAGCTTCTGGGGGGTCAAGGCCCTCATATTTAGGGTCTTGGGCTCCTGGGGCCACTTCAAAACCAGAATAATTCATGCCAAGTGAAGTCTTTTCCGAGCACATGTCATTTATTTTGCCTGTACTTGCAGCAGCAGAGCGCAGGATTTTGGATGCTTCGCAAATCGGGATTTGCTGAACTCCCCCAAAGAAGGATGCTTTATCATGGTAATCTCGCCTTAACAACTCAGGAGAGCTTCCCACAATTTAGGCGTGAGTTCACGCCCCGATTGGTTCTGCAACGACCATTTACCAGAAGCCAGGTGGCCATTGGGAAAAGGGCCCCCCTTTTTTGGCATTGACTTGAAAGGGCAATCCACTCCCAAGAAGGACAAGCGCTTTTGAGTCTTATATGATATAAGCCAGAGAGGAAGACCCCCACCAAACCAGGTACTCTCCCTCCAAATTTCAGGGAATCTGATATGGGCGCTTGAAAGACTAGCTTGTCTTTGGAAGAGCCCCAAGTCTACTTCTAAATCAGGGTCGTAGAACTGCCACAATGGCATGGCTTACAAAGGCCAAAGCGGTTATTCTTTTTCATCCAGACCGATACCCTCCCGACAGCAAACATGTAGGAGCCCCTGTGCAGGTTCTATGTTTTGGGAGGCTAGAAACCCCCTCCAGTAGCCTTGACTGTTTCTGGGGATCTCTAAAAGGCCCGTCCCCTGTCCTCTTGCCGAAGACCCAGCCCATGCCCAGAAACCAGCGAGGGGCAGCCTCCAAATGGAGCCGGGCTTGAGGATTTGAAAATGGGTCTGGCTTTTTGATACAATAAATCCATAGGGCATAGGGTGGCTGCGACCATCCTCAAATCTAATCTTTGGGGGGATTTACAACACAGCCGATTTCGGGAACGGAAGGAGCCCAGTCCGAGTCCCAATTCCCCGAAAGATGGAACACAGCAAGACATTCCTTCAAGACCTCAGTGCTTCCATTTACCGCTGTAAGTAACCTGTGTGTTCTACCTCTTGGTGTTACATTATGGTTTCCCCTGGAGAACTGCCATAGCGGTAACTGGAAGCATTGGGCAGGATACAACCAAAGAAAGTCGTTCGTTCAGTTCAAGTAGCGTTCCCTCCGCAGCTTCCAACATCGATACGGGTGCCAAGACTCGATCGCCACAAGAGTACATTTGAAGCCCGTGGGCAAATCCGTGTCGAAACTGCTGCTTTGAATCCAGGGACAAGCAAACTATCAACTGGTTTAGGAAGTTACCCAAACCCATTACTTTGTTATTTTGGCATCAAAGTACCCCGCAAAAAGTAGGTGAAAGGGAAACAACCCCTGATTCTGACTTTGGTAACCCCTAGAACCTGTCAAAATAGTTCATTCACATTCTAATTTCCTGAGTGGATGGGACAAAAGTCCATACTTTTGTTCACCACTAAAATGGTCCAGTCCCACAAAGTGACGAAAGTCCGAAACGGATTTCAGGAAGTGAGGTATCAAGTGTACGAGGGCTGTCCTCAGATACCCTGCCAAAGCTAAATAACTTCTAGTGGCTTGAATTCTGAAACCCCATTACTAAACCACCTAAATACAGCTAAAAGCCAATGGAACCGGATAGGTTGAAGCACCGTGCTACGTGGCTCACAAAGTGAGACACCATCTCTTGGCTTCTTCTTGGGAACCGGTTGGAACCAACAATCTTTGGAGCTCACGACCGCAATTCACGCCTTGGACCCGAAGTAGCTCGCCACCCGTCGGATCTCCTGGAGCTTGCGTCGGATGCAGTTGGGCAGCTCCGGGCTGGTGATCTCCTAAGCGGATTCAACGGATCCATGCGAAGGAGGCCTTACGCAGGGATCCTGACATTATACACCTGAACATTGCCTTGTAAATGGTGCTCTCCCTTTAATTTTGGTGGAAAAAAAAGGCATGTCTCAAATGGGCAAGATGTATCTTTTAAGGAGCGCTGTTACGCTTGGTGACATACAGGGGTTTGTCCGGATTGGGGTGGGTGTGTGTGTGTGGATATCTACTTTTTGGATGCTTGGTGATTTTTTGCGGGGATTTACCCTGCCACCAAATGACATGGAGCCCACCTGAGAAATCTTCAAAAGGACATTGGTCTTCCAGGGACGCCCTCTCAGGTTCCATCTTAGTTGGTGGGAGGGTCTGTAGATTTGCTGTGGGGGGATAAACATACTATAATCGGTTTTGGGGATGTGCGGGGAGTTATCTGGGGATGTTGTGAAAGTGGACGTCATGTACAAATACATGAGAATTCATGTCCAACCATGCTTTGGGATAAAACAAAGTATAGCCAAATGAGGACGCTTCAAACCGCCGCCAAATAAGGGGGTACAACATCTGTTCAAACAACCACACCCATCCCCGGTCACCTACCTGCTCCTCATGAGGGCCAAACACAACTAGGGTGCTATATAAAAGTTGTCTTTATCTCGATGGTTGTGGAAATGAGGACGTCTTTCGTAGGGGACCCCCAAAATGGTCGTGTTCCGTTTGGTTTCCCTTTGAACCAACCCCAAAAAGGCTATAGCTACTCTACTTAGTGGGTTCAAAAACTGCCGTTCAGCACTCGTTTGCCGTCATTTTTTGTCACACTCGATCACTTGGTTCCGCCGTGCCACTGCGTTAGGTAGGGCGTTTCGGGCTTGCCCTCGCCGGCTGCGCCTCGGCTGCGCCTTGGCTGCTCCTGGGCTTGCTGCAGGGCTGCGGCTGCCGGGCTATAGCTACTCTACTTAGTGGGTTCAGAAACTGCCGTTCCGACACCTCTCAGCACTCGTTTGCCGTCATTTTTTCGTCACACTTCGCTCCGCCGTGCCACTGCGCAAGGGCGTTTCGGGCTTGCCCTCGCCGGCTGCGCCTTGGCTGTGCCTTGGCTGCTCCTGGGCTTGCTGCAGGGCTGCGGCTGCCGGGCTATAGCTACTCTACTTAGTGGGTTCAGAAACTGCCTCCACCACGAACGCGATCTCGCCGTTTGAGCCGCGTGGACACGCAGACAAGGGTCGGCGGCACACGGGCGTAGCCCATTCTATCACCCAAGCAGAATCAACATCTGTGTCCGCCAAACACGCGTGGACAGCAGAGCCTACCCGACCGGCCATCGTGGAAGACAACTTGCATGCAGCTGATGCAGTGCAAGCGACTTTGACAATTGTTGCTGCCTCTTGTTGCCACAAACTCATGATGGAATTAATAGGCAGGTGTGAAATTCAAGTGGTTGAACCTTTTCTTTTGGTGTGCATCACCTTGCGGATTCATGGCCACCAACTATTTCCAAGGGTTTTCCCATCAACAGTCGTACCCAAGTCGGACCACGAAGACGTGCGCTGCTCACACTGTGGATGGAACTGTCTTTGTTTTGCAATTGCACATGTGATTCCTTCCAGTGACATGTTGCTTGTCCCGTGCCATAGGTCAGAACTCAATCTTTCCCAAGCAACTGAGTGACAACCAACTAACAAAAGACAATTCATGCATTTCGCAACATCTTCCCCATCCCCGCTGCCCCCTGCTTCTCTCGCTGGTAGATTCGAGCGTCTGTCCCATCAAAAATGTTGCAGTTTTCGATGGCCATCATGCAGCCTCGGCACCCGAGTACCTCTTTCCAATCATGGAAGCGAACAGGGGTATTCTCCAGAAGGAAATTCCTCCGGCCTCGTTCGTCCCCATAAGATCAGTACAATTGATGCACGTCACTGAATCTGACACATGTGCGACTTGCGCATTATGGCACCTTGAGCAACGCATGAGTCGCTTAACTCATGTCTGCTCCAGCGTGGTCCTTATTTTCTTGATTCCCACTAACTGGCCTCATTCTGTTTTGGCCTCACTCATTTACCATGATGAAAGTCACCCCGCAAGTGATGGGTCAAAGGGACAAACCCCAATTTGCCGACTTTGATAACCCCCAAGAACCAAAAAAAATCAGGAAGGCCTCCTGCGGCATGAAATGGGGGGGGAGAAGGGGGGAGGACATCGACTCTTTTACCAAGGTGGTTTTTAGAAGACCTGCAAACATGGTCGGATTGGGTTTCTACTTGTACAGGGAACCAAGTATGGGTTGCATATCTCAAACAACATAATTATTACAGTACGTACTACCACACATTTTGTCAAAGGTGAGTCTAAAACGGGTACACCCTAGTCTTTTCGTTGTGAAACAAAACATTCTAGCAAACACCAAACAACCCAGTGACCCGGTTGATTCCTCACAAACGGCCACAATACCCAAAGGCAGAAGCTGCTCCTATAAACTTACAAGGGTTTTAGAGGAAGTACCTCCCAATGTGCGTCACATAGATCGTTGTATTTCTGACTACACTTATTTGTTTGTTGATTCATTCGTGTATTTGTTAAACTTCGTAGTCATGTATTCATTGATTTGCTCATTTGCTTATTTTGCACCCACTTCGCCCTGAAGACTGACTCCCCCCAAAACTCTCCCCCAGAGTTGAAACTCTGGAGCCTTGGAACTTAGAGGCGTGACCTGAAATGGACCTCCACAACAAGAGAGTAGGCCATATTGTCCCATGTGGATTGAAGAACAACCCTGTGTGCGGTTGCACTTCAAGCTGATTTCAATGGCGCCCCTCGCAATAAAAAAGCTTAGAACCAGCCAGACGCGATACGCTTTGTGCTGACACAAAGCAAACCTGGGTAACCTGGGTGGTCCTTTTCTCTTGCCGTTTACGGAAAGCAATGATGTGCTTCACCCAAAAACTAGGGGGTTCACCCCCCCCCAAAAAAAAACAAAACACCAATTCAAATATCTGCTTATCCAAAATTGCTTGGTGGCTTTCCCGAGCGAAGTTATACAAGCCCTAGAAGTCCTGCAATATGCAGGGGCCTTGTAATTGCTAGCACTCTGCTCCTATGGTCCTGGCCAAATTTGCACAGGAGAGTATCCCACAACCTGTTTCGAATCATTTGCTCAGCGCCCAAGGCCCATTGACAGTTGGTTACACTATCATGGCCATACAGGCTGATATTATAAGACTTTCCTATGACGCGCATGAAAGCCAGGGAAAAGAATCTCCTAAAATTGCCCACGCAGCAGGGGGTTTTGGGCGCTGCTCATTTAGGACCTTCTTGTACTCTCTTTGGCCTCAGTTGCCCAAAGGAGCCAGACATCATATTGTTAACCTTTGGGAACCTTGGCTAGAAATGGATTCAGGGAAACCAACAGATCAAAAGGCCGGCGTTGGGTCTGTCATTTTTTTGCGGGTACCCCATTCTTTCTGGATTTGAAGGGAACCAAATCTTAAAGCCGTTTTGGGGGTCCCCCAAGACAAAGACACGCCATACACCCGTTTTGGGTTTTGCAGGAATTCTGCCTGCTTCTGCGCACGACGGACGCGAGACTGCAGTCTCGCCACCTCCCATGGCGATGTCGAACTGGCTGCAGAAGTTCTTGAGATCTTCCTGGAGATGCCAGGCTCTCTCGTTGCAACCAATAGAACCAGGTGAGTCACAATCAAAACCTTCATCTTATTGTGGCTCAGGTAACTCGGTCACCCGTCAGGCTGGTGGTTTGGATTGGTGCGGATTTGGACTGGAAGCCCTGGCTCTCTCACAGTTGCAACCACTCAGATGCCAGTGGATTTCCATGAGAAGCAAAAAGGGTTGGTTGAGTTTAAAGGAATCGGAATCCTTCACGCAAAAAAAAAAAAAACTGGGAAAAGGGCGCCACTGGGCAGGCGGGAGTATAGTCAGGGACCCATCAGGCTGGTGACTTGGATTGGTGGTTTGGAATTGGACTTGAACCCCTGCTTGCTCGCGCTCCAGAGTCAATGCCCGCAGCGAAAACCCGTGAAACTACAACTCAGCTGGGTAGGTGGGAAACCACCCCACCTCAAAACCACCAATCCAAACCACAAATCAGAGGGAAGCTGATATAACTGCAACCCAGAACAAGTGAAGACTCCTGACTTCAGCTTTCTTTCAAAAACTACCAGGCCTTGGACAAGCAGAAAGACCGATTGGGGAAACTTCCCACTTTAGAGACACACCCAGAGGTGTGGTCAACCCATCCCTAGCAGTCCCAACCCGCAGGTGTTGCCGTTGAAAAACAAAAAACACATATGTCCAGTGACGGAGTCCAATTCTCAATAATCCTCAAACAACGAGACAATAAACAAACAGTCTGAAACCTCGGATTGGTGGTTTGGTGGTTTGGAGCCCGTTGGTTTGGGCGCTCCCAATTTACCCTCCACAAGAACCAGAGGTTCAAATCCCCCAAACCACCATCTGTTCAGCAAATGGGGGCCAAGCCAAGAATTCTTCGGTTGGGCTGTCCTCAGATCCCTGCTAAAAGTTTGACTCGTCGAATTGATTTTTGGTGCCCCACTGAACCTAAAATTACTAAAAGGCAACTAGAAGACCAAAGGAACCAGCTGCCTGGTTGAGCATGTTGAGCCCCCAAGTCCACCTCACCTGACGGCCGTGAGGCCCTAAGCGGACCTTCGGGACCTTTGGGCCCCGCCTCGGATCTGCAAATGCTGCAGGGGTCGCACAACTCGCAGACCTCGGGCGAGTTGTTCGTTTTGCGCTTCGCGGAAGCACCAGCTCACTTGCCCCTTTTCTGGGATTCAAGGGCATGAAAATTCAAATCTCCAGCGCGGAGTCTTGTGTGCCCAATTTTCCCCGCCTGTTGGGAAGCTCGCAAACAGATTGGTTCGAAATCGGTCAACAATGCTCAGAAGCTCCCACATAAGACTTCCTAGTCCATGCTTGCCCACAGCATTCAAGCATTGTTCTGCATCCCTCCATTGATTGCTGGCCTGGTGCTAGCTTACATCGCGGGTAGCCCCGAAATCGACAAGATCTTGGGGCGCATCTTGTGCTTCCTTCGAAGCAACCATGACATGTCCTCCCCTGGCTTACACCCTGCCAAGAGCACAATGAACTGGAAATACAAGGGGCGTGTTCTGCAATTCTTGCAGTCCTGCATTGAAGAATTCCAGTTGTCCACTAACCCTGACAGAAAGAAAGACTTCATTTGGAGGTTCACAACATCTGCCCAGTTTCAAACTAAATGTGATAGTGAAGGTGGATGGAAGACATCGAAGACACATTTCGGCTGGTGACTGGCCTGATTGGACTTCTAAGGTTTAGACACGTTGGCCCTACACTGGACTGAGGAAATCTGCAGCACAAGTTCTGGAAACTGAACAGGAAAGGTGAGGCAACTGCATCTTATAGAAATTCCAAGACATGAGTGAAGATTCACTCAGAGAAGAACCCTTAACATAGGGAGCTCGTTTCAATTTTCTGGTGAGTTTGCCATAGATTTCAACATTGTCATTGCTTTCTCGAGAACCTGAAGGAGAATTACTTTGCTTGTAAGGTATTGTTTGCTGCGGGAATAGCTAATCCTGCCCGGGGGGGATCTTTAGGCCGTTTGTGAGGGGATTCGTTGCTCAGAACCTGATTGATACGCAGGGAAGGCTTCCGTATTGCATTATTTACACCCATCCCCTGCTAAACGCTTAATTTTTGTGGACACCCCTACTGTGGATGGACGAAATCCATTTCGCACCACCATTCAGAAACCCCGGTTTCTGATGATTCTCCGGTAACTACTTGGTTTCCGCATGGCTTCATTTCGTGGTGCGAAATGGATTTTGTCAGTATGGCTGGGAACCACCAAGACGAGTTGGGAAGCCTTGGATGCATCACCTCACAAAGTGGCCAATGGCGTTTTGGGGGTTTGGGGGGCCTGAGAGAGGGATGTTTTCTTCAATTAGGGCCCCAAAAACTGTGATGAAGAGGGCGCACCAATGAGATGTGTTGCCTTCTGCAAATGGGCTTGTAGCGCCCTGAGGTTCAGGCTTATGTTGCCCAAAACCGCAGTGGCAGTAGGGAGAAAAGGGCACTGCAAATAACACGTTCGAGAAAAAAAAAGGAAAACCACTTGTTGGGGACTTGACTTTAAAGGGAACACACACACACACCCTGCCAACCAAAAGAGGCAACACTGAGTGTCTGGGTGTCTGGGGTCCTAACCCCCTCACATCGATTTTGATATTGCGACCTTCGCGTCCAAGGGTCGTGGGTCTTGGACCAGTCGAGCTCCGTCTCCTCGGCTCTGGCGAGTGAGCTGAATAGCTGGTAGGTGGCTTGTCGTTTTGGTTGGTACCCTCAAAATGGTGTTTTTTTTTGTTTAAAGATAAACCAACAGGAAAACTGTTGCGCCGTGTTGAGAGGGGCCCCCTAAAAACAAGGCACACAGACAATTGTAGGGAAACTGTCGTGTCAGCTGCTGTTCCCAGTAGCCTGGAGGGATCAGTACATTGAAACTCTTTACAGTATGTGGGCCATGGTCACAGTTGTCATACGTTGACCATCCTAGCAACCTCAAGTAAAGGAGTCGTTTGATGGCACGCACTGCGGGCGGGATGAAAGCGGGAGGCGGACGAAGGGGAAGAGCTTCCAACTGCCAACGTGTCAGACAAGCAGGAGCTACTGTACAGTAGGAGTCGACTTCTTCTACGTCCTCCAGTAGAGAGGTTGCATAAGGGTGCCCGATTTTTTTTCTGTAGTCTATTTTAGTAGGAGAACGGGAACCCTCCCCCAAAAAAGGGTAACAGGGCACTACTGGGGGACCTGGTCTTTACTTGTGTCCGAATTCCTACAATTTAGCAACTAGAACGAAGGAATCCTGCAGCATGTTGTCCAGTGATCCTGGTAAGAAAAGGAAACCCTTTTGGGGGTTGATGCCTTTTTTGATGGGGGTTGCCCTGCTTGACTAAAAGGAACACAGGGTGGAGTGGAATACTTAGGGCACTGGAGGAAGACAGTAAGACCTGGAAATAGAAGGTTGATATTTGGGACTTTGACTAGACATGGACAAGGAAGTGAACACCACACTACGTTCTTGTGTCGAACTAAGGGGACTCGCATGAATGGTGATCTTGCTTTTGGTTCCCGTACCTACCTTAAAAAGGCCCTCAAAGAAGCACACGCCCACATGAACTAAATGGTTAGCTCTGGACCTAAGTAGTGAGGAAGCACAGTCCCTTCACGAACCTCTTTCCAACAGTCATGGAAGTGGACAGGGTCGTCCAAAAAGGAACTAGTCGTCCAAAACCCTCCGATGGGCTTCCATGGAGGGCATCAGCTGCTTTAGTCCTTGGGGCAAACCTCTATACTGAAATCTGGGCTGTCCGTTTTCTGATCCAAGGCGAAAAGTGAATAACTTTTAGTGGGTTACTGGAACCTAACCACCAAACCAACTAAAAACCTGAAACCTGAGGAACCCCAGGCCTGGGAGCCGTGAGTTCTGAGCTCGCCCTTTCAAAGTACGCCCTGAGGTGATGGATTTACAAAATCCAACTTGCACCTGGTGGAGTTTTCAGATTTATAGGCCTGGATAAGTACCGCAGGAATTCGTCCGCAGTGTTACCCTCCTTTCCCTCAGTCCGGAAGAGCCATCATCTTCAAGAGGCCTTGTGTCCATACAACCCCAGCGGTTGCTCCCAACCAAGGTTGAGTCGCTACATGTTTAGTGAACCACACTACGTGAATGGATGTCAAACTAGGCATGGATTGTTGGGGAATCGACATGGGTCTGCCCTTTTGAGAGCCGTTGTGCAACAAGTACGCGCATGGTGACGGAACCTTAGGATAAAGGCAAACCCCATGGAACTCTCTTTAAACATCTGTTTTACGGAAAACCATTGAGTCAAACCAAAGGATACAAATACGACGGAATTGCACTCATTGCTCAACCACTCCAAGTTGCTTGAGGGAGTTTACCCCAGGAATAACAGTATGGCTTTTGAGGAACGAAGACTCAGTTCCTGAATGGATTGGCAAACAGAGTCTGAGATACTTGCTTGCAACTTTGCCACAACCCGAAAAAATGACGATCAAGTCCGAACGGAACTCAGGAAGACAAAAGGCCAAAGTTCGAAACGTCACATCCGGGTGCGTGTTTCATTTTTTGGGGTACCAAGTTCTTGGGGTGGTCTTGAGGCAACAGGCGCGCCAGCCGCAGCCATTTGCGGGGGCGTCCGACTCCGACTCCGACTCCGACTCCGACTTCCGCCGCGGGAACGCTCCAGCCGCTCCAAGCGGCCATGACGTAGCCCATGGCCAGAGAGTCGGAGTTCCTAAGGCAGCGAAACCTAAGACCGACCGCTTTCTAGGTCCCTCCAGAGAGGATAGAATAAGCGTACCAACTTTTTTTCTGTAGTCCATTTTAGTAGGGGAACCCTCTCCCCAAAAAGGGGTAAGAGGGCACTACTGGGGGAACCTAGGCTTTGTGGAGATCCGCCCATTTTTTGGATAAGGCGGATGGAAAAACACTATTTCGCACCAGTTGGTAGGTGGCTTATCCCATTGTTCATAGGGTTATCTATATATCCTGGATGGGGTGTCCCTTTTGTTGGAGTTGGTACCACGTTTTCTTGGTGGTTTTAAAGGGAAGCCAAGAGGAAAGCCACCATTTCGACAGGCATCTACAAAAAGACACCCCCATACTGTAAACAAACACACCCGAATTCGAATGAGAAAAAAGCATTGGCACCTTTTCTTGGGCAGCTGAGTTTGTCGGGAAGCAGGCTCAGAAAAGGAAAAACGAGCAACACGTGTCGATTCAGCACAGGTCACACTCAATGGAGGTATGTTAAACGGTACTCCCCTGCAGAGGGAACATACAACGCAGCCACGAAATATAATTGCACGAGGATGATTCCTGACAAAAACAAAAAACATGGCTGTGTTTGCGCGGGTTCGTGCTAATCTGCAGTAGTGCCCAGTAGATTGAACATGTTGAAACCGGGTTTCCGTTTCCTAAAAGGGCACATGGTTGCAAGACATGAGACTCTTAACTTAAGGTGATGCCAGGATAAAATGCCAATGCACCTGACAATTGTATACAGTTGCCACGTTCAACAGCGGGTTGCTTGGTAAGACAAAGCGCATGGGCTCCAAACTTGCCACTTGCTTCATTTTGGGGAAGCAAGAGGGACGCCGATACAAATCGAGAGGGTAACCTTCAGTTGCCTCAAAGGAGGGTTGAGGAATCTGCTTTTCAATTGAAAAGTGCCACTCTTGGTGCATCATGAGTGAATAAACACATGACATGAACACTGTTTTCTGCAGACCGGGAACATCTTGTTGATGCAACATAGGTTTGACTTGACAAAATAATCAAACAAAACAACTGTCGAGACACAAGGGGAAGACAACAACACCGTGCGGGCCGAAAAGTGTTCAGCTGAGGTTCTGCGCTCGAAGCACCTGCAGCAGCCGGGGCACGTTCAGAAAGCTATCGTCGTCCAGGTACATGACATAGTCCTGCTCGGGCCTCCAGAACGCACGTAGCGCGCTGCCAAAAGACTGGGATCTTCAAGCGCCTTCAAAAAAAACGACCAGGGAAGCCACTTGGATACTTTCTGGGCTGGCCGTTTTCAGATCCGCTGCGAAATTTTGAATGAAGAACTTGTGGGATAACTGGACCCCAACCGCACCAACTAAAAACAACGAAACACCTATGGCTGGGAACCAAATGTTCGTTGCCTGGAGACGCATACCCTCGTGCCAATCGGACATCCCGAAAATGGCTTCGATTTAGTCTTTTGGTTTCCCTTTAACACGCCCCAAAAAACGGGTGCCCCCAAAACCGACAGACCCAAACCAGATTCTTGTCAACGTCCATTGGTGGAAGGCGTTGTTTGTTTTGAGGGTACCTCTTTTCTGGTGGTGTTCAGCGGAAACCAGCAGGAAAAGCGGCTTGCCGTTCGAAAGCAACACATACCAATCAAACTCCAGCTTCTGGAAAACTCTGTTTGGCGCAAACTGGACCCGTCCGAAACGCTCGGAAACCCAGGACCCAGTGACCCTCGCAGGTCAAAAGCATCTGGAAACTATGTGAATCATTTCAACTCATGAAGCTGGATGATTTCCTAAGGACTTCGCAAACCAAAAACCAACTTACCCTGTTCCCAATTTGTGATCTCCGAAGACATGAAACCACATGTGATGTAGGGAGAAAGAAGCATTCAACTAAAAAACCCACCGGAACCTTTTGTTTAATTCATTCCAGTACTCTGCCACCCACCAATCAAGGAGTTCTCCAGGGATGGGTTTTGGACCTATGGAGGTTTAATCCCACTTAAGGGTGTATACTGTGTTACAAGCTTATGTTGCAAGCATCCATACTGTGGATGGATACCGTGGACGAACTCCTGCACCACTTTGAATCCATGGATAATCACATTGTTTCTTGAGTTGTTGTTTTTTTTTCAGAGATTCTTAGGTGCTGGATGTCGTCCATCTGCAGTACCTCCACAACCCATTCCTGGAAATGCCTGATTGAACTATCGTGGAAGCTGTTTTAAGCTCCCGAGCCATTGTCCTCGTTTCTATGCTAGTGGGTCGGAGGGCAACATCACCTATGTGACACCCAGAAAATGGCCAACAAAACACATGCCGCGGAGCTTCTCTTTTTGGATAATTCGAAACTATGGGCATGGGAAAGTACAAGGCACGAAATCATTGCGTGTGATCATGACAGAATTTATTTGGTGAGTATCCACTGCATTCTAATGATTTAGGCCGTGATGGAACTAGGAATCCAGGACCCCCAGTGGCCATGCCAGTTTTCGGGTAGTTGGTTTTGAATGGGACACCCCCTCCAAAAAAAAAAAAAAGGAAGCAACCCACAGTGTCTGGGCCAGATTGCAAAAAAGGCAAACCCGCCAGGGCAAAAGGCAAGGCAACCAGGTGGAACCATCATGTGCATGTGATTTGTTGAAGGTCATTTTTTTGTGGTATTTGAAGGTTGCCATGATTGGTGGTTCCTCCTGTTTTGCGACAAACCATCATGTGCACAGGTGGCCTTTTGGAAAAATCGATGGTCCTGGAAATGGAGCATAAACTATCTGAATTATAATTACACTAGCCCATCAAGGCACCTACTGTGGATGGTAGTGAGATCCATTTCGCACCACGACATGAAACCATGGTTGAAACCATACAGTTTGTTGTCTTGGAAGACCATTTTCCGTTTTTAAAGGGGCCGTCTCCTTTGGCAGGTTCCACGTTGAGAGTAGATGAAGGATTTCGTCCAGCCACATCATCATGTGCCTACTTAACGGGGCAGGGTACCTTAGGAAGTGGTTTATGCGCAAAAGCCATGATTGTAAGTCCCCCAAGTGGGCTGTAACAAAGCTTGCTAGCCACTTAGTTAAGGAAGGATGTGCGCTTCAGATGCCTAGAGGCTGTCTGACGTCTAAACTCGCAGACTAGGTCCTCCCGTAGAGAGGTTAGAAGAAGGGTGCCCGATATTTTTTCTGTAGCCTATTTTAGTAGGGGAACCGAATCTCCCCCGAAAAAGAAACGGTAAAAGTTGGCACTACTGGGACACCTAGCCGAGCTCCCATCTCGCCCAAGCTCGAGTTCTTGCGGTCTGCGCCTGTTCTCGGCCAGCCAGGCGCTGCCCTGCAGCAGCCGCCACGTGCGCGCGCAGGGCCTGGCGCGTGGAAACTGGTGCCACCAGACCATGGCCTGCTGGCCGCCTGGGGATTCATCAAAAAAAGGAGGCACCTGGACCGCCAAACGACTCAAAGAAGGGTAGGAACCTGGTTTGTTGGAGGAACAATCCCTTTTTGTGGGTAGTTTGAGGGTCCAGGCACTTTTTGTTGCTTGAAACAATTGGAAACTCACTTCCCGAGTTGATTGGCCAAAGAAAGGAACCAAAATGTTTGTTTACCACTGAAATGGTCTTCTCAACAGTATGAAGTCCAGGAACTGAGCAAGTGATGAGATCAACAGAAGGCAGCTGAAACGATGGTACAAGGCTTTGTTGAAGGGAAAGCAAGAGATGGTTTAAGCAATGGTACGGCTTTTTTGACAATGGCCGGGCCCAACCCGTGCAATGTGGACACGCGAATTCTTTGAGCCCCGGTCATAACACTCAGGGGCTCAACCCCGTGGATGGCGTTGAAAGGGGCCTCGTTGGTTTCAGGCATGGGGATCAACCCCAGAATCCTGAGTCACTATCAATACCCCTCCGTTTGCATAGGCTCCCTAGGAGTGATCAATTCCCTTTAAATCCAACCAGGGACTTTCTTAAGCAAATCAAAGAACCTGGCAACATGGTCTACCCAAAGGCCGGCGAAAAGACCCATTTATGGTCCTAGGACTATCCCTTACTCGGGTGTTCGTTGTGGCTCAACTTACAAAGTGATTAAAACATCCAAGAACCTTCTGGGACACTGGTTAACTAATCGGGGGTAGCCATTGTTGGCAAAACAAAGTCTTGATACCACACCTAAGTATGTCATACTGTGGATGGACGAAATCCATGTTGCACCACTTTGAAACCATGGTTGCAACCAGTGTTTGTTGGTATTTACAGGGGATTCAACTTTCCAGGGTTTCTGGTGCAGGAGTGCGTCCATCCAAAGTAGTAAGGTGTAGTCAAACATTGAGCACTTGCCAACCAAAACTAGCAATGGCTGTCCATGGTTGAACAATCATACTGCGATGCTTTATAATCTATAGTCCCAGCCTAGAATGAGCATTGGCATTGAATCATATGGTATGGCATTCCACAGAGGCTAGAACCCAGATCAAGTTCAAAAGCAGTCCAGGTGAAGACACAAGTATTGGCAGAATCAAACACAGGGGCAAACTAGCCTTGCTTTCAAACAGGAGTAGGCAATACAAGCTGAAAGACAATCCACCCTTGTCTACTAGGTCACCAAAAGTTTGGGAGCACCAAAAGTTTGGGAACCCCAAAATATGGGCTTTCCCTGTGGTTTTCCTTTAATCCACCGCCAAAAAAAGGGTACCAGGACCCTCAAACTCCGCCATTAAAAAAGGGAACTCCCTGAGCACCAGGCGCCCAATCGCCTCCGAACCCTCCAACCAACGGCATCGCATGCGGCCTATCCAAGACGTAGGTGACGTCTCGGGCCACCGGGGGGTCGGAATCCGGGCCAGCCACCTGGCGGATCTTCAGACTGGAGGTCCCAAGAACTGCACTATCCCCATTCTCAGGGATCCGGAGGACCACTAGCTGTATCCTCCCCAGAGTCTCAGGGATCCTTCTCTTCAAATGGGCCAAAAGTCTGGAAACTAGGTGGCTTCTATTGATGATGGAAGAAGGGAATGGGGAATCAAACCTTAGAACTTGACACGCGTTGGACTGAGTTGGACTACCCCGATTGAAGCAGGAGTAGAATGTGGCTGCTCAAAAAATGGAATCCACAAAATGACACCTTGGTGTATGGAAACAATGACTACAACCCGCGTAACCCCAGCTGTTGGTTTTTGAGCCACACCCATGTCTCTTTGTTGCTGAGGGCACTCATGTTGGGGTTGGTTTAATGGGGAAATCACAAGCAAAACCACCATGGTTTGGTCCCTACAAAAAGACACCAGTGCATGTGCAGACACATTGAACTGTTTGTTTTTGGGGCCTTCTTCTTCTTCCCCTCCAATGAATCGCTGCGTCGGACAGATACTGATATTGTGCACCATCACAAGCGAGCAAGAAGTAGTCTCAAGGAAATCAAAAGCAGGCTCTAGCAAATGTCTAGACTATCCCAAAGTTTTGGTTTTCCTGGTTGTATCTGAGGGAATCCGATCATAAAGACAGCAATTAGTGGTTTATTCAGTGATTCAGTGAGGGTTTCTCCAGGGATTGGTTCCATCTATTCTGTTCAACCATCCTGCTTTTCAAAATCCGGATCCGTTTTTTGTTGGGTTTCCCTAGAGGTTTTCTGGAAAGACGGTTCTTTGGAAAGAATGGGGAAGAGAGCCCTAGAAAATGGGATTCGGGATGCTCATATTGTCATGGGATGCAAGCTGGAACCTGCCTTTGTTTTTGGCACCCACTTAGGGTCTCCTGAGCCATGTGTCAAGGAGAAGGGACATGTTGCCCGTAGCTACCAAAAACAGGCCAGCAATATGACAGCAACTGGGCAGACCGGCAATTCGCACAATACTCACATAAACTGTCCTTCCAGCAACACGCCAAGAGCAACTGACACTGACCCTTGCTCTTCGGGGCGAAGGTATAACCATCGCGAAAAGGAACCTCACGAGGCGCAAGACAACACTTTCTCATTAGATGCTCCACATGCATACATGCATTGCCCAGGGATTCCATTTCTTGGTATGGCAGGCAACCCAGAATAGTAATGATACGTGTCCTTCAACACCAAAGGGGGGGGGGAAACAAACAAACAACATATGGCAGTGGATCAAAAACATGGAGCCCAACATGGCGCCTTCTGGAACCAAAGACTAACTATAATTTTGAGCCACACCCATATGGCTATGGGTCAAATTCCCGTACCCGTGAACATCCCAATCCCCACTAAAATAGGTGCTGCACAAATCCCCCAAAATGGGATCCCATTGGTTTTGAACTACCGCCATATCCTTAAGCAACTGGAGGTGACATGTTGGCCTCGATCGGCTTCTGACCCGATTCTTGCCGGCCTCCACGAGGTCCCCGTACTTGGCCTCCTCCTCCCAGGCCTGCGCCTACTGCAAATCAGGGCTATGAGCTACATCTGCCCTCTGCAAGGTTGAATGGTCGGGTCGTTTTCACCTGTACTCCATCTCTGCGCCTGTTTGGACGCAATGGCCTCGTTTTCCAACTCCCCTACCTCGTTCCTACCTGATTTTGCACCTAGTTCAAACATCATGCTACCCAAAAAACGCTTCCGCCCGGCCTGTACTGTAGTCTTCTGTAAAAGGCAGTCGCTCATATGGATACCTTTACCGCCATGCAGTCAAGCTACCAGTCACCACCATTCCAAACAACTCGTGGGGCCGCTCATCGGCAAATGATTGCCCAAAGTTCAAAGTGGCTTACTTCCAATGCACGCAGGGTGCACCGCATAGGAAGGGTCTATTCATTCCCCGCTGCATTTCTTAGGGCCTTGTAAGGCTCCTTGGGCCAGGGACCTTGGAGCGCGACTCGCGATGCTATCCGATGACGTCATTTCAGTCGGGAGAGTGCGGAGTGCAACAACCGCTTTCGATGGTGTTCCACCCACCTCCCAACCACTGCTTTCTGGACACTACTTGAGATTTTGGACATGGGAAAAAGCAGTTGTGGGGGAGTGCTGGATCCACTAGATTTGGGTTACAAAATCTGGATGCACTAGATCTACGAGGTAATTATATTCACACCCAGAAAGGAATGCAATTAGACGATTAGATGCTCCCCTCCCCGTTTCATGTGCGATTTTGCTGAAAAGGATCATTTGTGCACTTCTATCAAAGGCCCGTGCCGGCTTGTACAAACTGCATGCACTTGACTAACAAACCGTACCGGTCTCAGCCTCAAGCCCTACACAAGCTCACGCGAACGCACATCAAAGGCTAACTTATTTGAGGTACACGCGACAAAACCCCACATGGGTGTGTCTTCTTTAAGGTTTGTTTGAGCCCAAAAATGGTGGCTTTCCTTAAAGGAAATCCTCCAAAACAGGCACGCTCACATTGACCTTGGCAAATTACTGTAATCCTGGCACCGGAAACAAGGAAATCCACATATCACGGACCTTCATCACTGGTGAGCTCGTCTTGCCCCGTAGGTGGGATCGCTCTATTTTTGCACGTGGTTCAACCCTGGGACGACAGGTGGATCAGGTCGATCTGCAGCGATCAGCAAACATGGGCTGCAAGGCTGTCAGCCCGGACATGTCGGCCGGATGTGAGCCTTGTTTGAGTTTTGTCCGGAAAACCTGTGAAATGTCTGGACTACCAGTTTGTTCTCAGTGCCCTCGAGTCATTTCTTGGGTGCTATGATCCATTTTGATTTGTTTTCACTTTGTCCTAAATCAAAAAGATCACTTGAGCCTTCATTAGATCAAAGAGGTCACCTGAGCCTTCATTGAAGGGCACTAAGCATATTGCTGGTACCTCAGCATTTGTCCCCAACTACGCATATCAAGTTGGCATTCTGGTCAACATGAGCCTGATACTGAAATGAGGCCCAACGCCGGCAGAGGCTTACTTTAGTCCTTGGACTTGGTGCTCTCCAAACCCCAAAGGACCAAAGCCCAGAGACGTCGGCAGCTTTTGGTCTGGGAGCTGCGCCGCACGAAAAGGAGCGCGCGCCTCCTGGGATTCTGCGGGCTTCGCCATGAAGAAGAGCAGTTCCACAGAGTCGGCGCCAGAGTTGGACTGGCAGTGGGACCTTGAGGCTGCGCTTGGAAACCTACTGCCGTGGGGGGTTGGGGGGTGGGGGCGGTTGGGGGAAGTTGGGGGATTGGCACCAAAGTCACCCCTAGCTCCCATTCCTTTCTCTTGTCCGGCTCCAGAATTCAGATAAAGGAATGGATGACCCTTGGCGAAGGGTTCTGCAACCCAAGAAATTGACTTAGATGCCTCACAAAAAAAAAAAAAACGCAAACAGAACAAAGAATGGGCCCTGTGTGGATGGACAAAACATCCACGGCGATCGGCACCATGTGGTGTGTAGTTTATCCAGTCCAAAAGGGTTTCATCGGGTGCGACATGGATCGTGTGCGCAGAAGCCAAGCCCCGATACCAGGTCGTTAGCCATGGTTCCAAACAAGCCGTCACTGGAATTCCCAAGTTGATGACTGGTGGCGTCCATGCTGGTACCTCAGCATTTCGTCCCTAACGCATATCAAGTTTGCATTCTCGTCAACATGAGCCTGATGCTGAAACGAGGTCAAACCGGACGGAAATTGAGTCGGAGCCCTTGCTAAGGCTCGCTGCTCCTCCCGAGGCGAGAGATTGGGCGGTCAGAAACTGGCTGCGTGGATTGCTCATGTGCTCCCCCGGAGTTTAGGGGTGAGAATGGGTGTGTTTTTTTCACAAGGGGAGCCCCGAAAGCGGTGGTTTTCCTGTTGGTGTCCCTTTGAAACAGCAAGGGGTGCCATACAAGAATGACACACCCAGATATTGGGCCCCATGGCGATACCAAAGTGGGATTCCCAACCCCTTCGAAATCTTCCGGGGATGCGCTCGTCTTCCGAAAGCCTCAGTAGCTATTTGCAGATTACACGGAACACCCAAAAGAGCAAAAGGAAAAACAGCTTGGCGTCTAGCCATGGATGGCTCTTGTTCTGGGTCTGTGATGCATCAAGTCGGTCAGTGGCACTGCCATAAACACGCAACCTTCTTTAATCCGAGTTCACTGAGTTCACCATATCGCTCAAACTGAAACCGCTCTGTTTGCCCACTAACAAAACCAGATGCTCAAGTTAACATCAGTGGGCGATCAAATGGGTTTAGAAGACGAGCATGCTCTTGAAAGGGCCCCCTGCGTCGATGCATAGGCAACAAAATCCGGTTGATACCTACCATGGACCATCCCTATGACCACTTTCTCACCTCAAGCAGCTTCCCCTGGCAAAGTTGCAACCCGAAAGACCTGAAGCCAAATGCCAAAATGAGGAAGCCAACAAATGGAGCTTGATCAAGCTTCCTGTCCCCAAAATGACCATGGCTATGTCTTGCAAAAAAAAGAAAGAGCATATCTTGTGATTCCCCTGGTCATCCCACGTTTGCCTGACCTGTTACCCCAAATCACAAAAGACACCTTCGCCGTCGGAACGCTCCGAGCTTGAACCTTTCCCGCGGCCCAGGTCGGACCTGTAGACCCAAGGCCTCCACTAGACAAAGACCGAGGTGGGGGTCTCAAAACCAGGCTCTTTGAAGGGAGCCTCGCTTCGCTTTGAACTGAGTCGCTCCCCAAAGACTAACCCCCCCCATATTTAAAAAAAAACAAAAACAAAAAAAAAAGATTCCCTACAGTGGGGGATAAACCCCGAGTGATCCACACAGTGGTCCAAAAGCCTTGAAACCTTTCCTCGGCTCGGCTCGCCGTGAGGGAGGTCGCCGGTTCTTAGTTCCGCGAGCCGGGAAGCCGGGCAGCGCACGCCGCAGCAGGCTGCGGCGCTCCAGCGCCGCCCAGGGGCTGGTGACCATGAGGCCTACCCAAAAATCCCCCCGAGTTGTTTTTGAAGCAGACATGGAACGAGCCCCTTTTAAGTTAAGCACGTTTTTTGTTTTTTTTCATGGTTCTCCCAGGTTTCTTGGGGGCGAAATGGAACGAGCCCCGGAGAACAAAGCTTTATACGGCTTCCGTGAAGTTTATTCCCACGGCAGCAACTAGGACCTCGAAAAAAATATGGCTGGCTCCATAGGGGACAAAGAAACGGAACCAAGAACAAACACAATCCCTTCTTTAACACAAAAGGGAGAAAAAACCAGTTTCTTTAGCATCCCCTTCTGGTTCATTCCCAACACCCGGTTTCGGTCATTCGCTACCTACCGCACCAGCAAGACAAACGGGGCAAGACCCTGAGTGGCTGTATCTCCCAAAACCTTCCATTTGCTTAAGGCCCCAGGAGAAATATATCCAGTAGTGATGGATTCCTTTTAAAACAAACAAGGGGAAAAACAAACGGTATTCTTAAGCAAATGGAGGAAACTCTGGTAAGCTGGTAAGGTTGGAGTGGATTTTGTTTGACAACTGAAACCTACGGGTGACGTAGCTGGGTTATAAAACATGGTTCAAATGGGATAAGCGGGGTTTTGGGGCTAATACCTCCATGTAGCCATGATCATAAGCTACTTAAGCTGGTGGAACGCTCAAGTAGAACCCCCCCAGGTGTTACGTATATCTCGTGACAACTCAGAATTGCATCAAACGAGTGTTTACTCACCAATACTTTGCACAGTTGAGGGGGTGACTCACCGAATCCCGCACCGCCCAACGTACACATGTTATGTAAGTTGTGACTTGTCAGCCGCATGCCCCCCAAAATCCCCTGCTCCTCGCCAACTTCCCCAGCATCCCCAGCATTCCTGCGGGTTTCCGCGAAAGCGGCGCCGTCACCAGTATGCAGAAAACATCGCAACTGCCGTGTTTGTTTTTTCATTTTTCGCAGGTTTTTGTGGGGACGAGGGGGGATGCCAGAGATGCGTCTTCGTCAGATTGGCTTTCGGTGTGCGAGCGCTGCGCGCGCACGCACGCGCACGCACGTCTGCACGATCGCACGCATGCACACCTGGGGCTAGGGCGGGCACGAGGGTGGGAACCAGGCAACCAGCGTCTAGGATACATGTCGCCTTACCACATATTTTATCATCACTTCATATCACGATGCATTTCTATTGACGATCAGCTCACTCCAACACAATACGCAAGGCCTCGATATCCCAATGGCAAATCTATCCAAAATAGTGTACACCGCAATGGAAGCAATAGAAACCCATCGCTGTGAATGCAGCTAGCCGAGCTGCATTCCCTCTTACGCCCTCTTAGGGGGGCAATGGATAAAATTGCGACCTGTGGCCCTGGCAAAAGCATATACGCATCAGCACCATGTACTCAGTCCATTAAAGTGCCATCCTCCAAAAATTACTCTTAGTTCCCACAAGTAACTTTTAGATTTAGATACTTTTAGAACTCAAGATGCAACCGCTTTCATGGAGTTACAAGTACACAGTGCTGATATGATTGCCAGGGTCCAAGTTCTCGATGCAAATATGTAAATCAGCCATCCGCTTTAAGCGGAGCCAGCACCTCGCCTCAAGCGGAGAGCCGATCGGCTCCATGCGAGGAATGTGAGGTAGGTGGCTTTGCTAGCCAACAAAATGACATGTCCCTTCCTGGCATTTGCTTAAGCCGCCTGGAAAAGAATCCAGTAGTGATAGATTCCCTTTAAAACCAACAGAGGAAAAAAAAACATATTCTTAAGCAAATGGAAGCTTCGTGCCAACGGGCCTTCAGGTCAGGGCAATGCCCTGAGATCGCAAACCTTGTTCAGGCTCGCGGGGCCGGCTGAAAAAATGTGGCACCCCAAAGGTTCTGGGGCGTGGTATGCAGAACCCACAATTCCTCATACAGCGCACGTTGGGGTGTCAACAGCACATATTTGGAGGCGCAAATGCTGATCGGACCCTTACGGCAGGGCCTCACTAGACGGGGCCCCTCGCCAAGAATGGGCTCCGACAGGTCCAAAGGTACGACTGGTCAAACCCGGTCGTGCTTCAAATGTCGGCAAGGACACGGTCCAACTCCTTGCTCCGAGGCTTACCTCAGGTGCAAAAAATACAGACAACCAGACACCAAGAAGCGCAAAGGCCAACGAACAAGCCGGTAGCTGGGGTCCAAACCAAAACTGGACATGCACTGTGTGCATCCCCTTGTTCTACATCGACAAAAAACCGCTAATGACATTGACTGTGACCTACCCAATGAAAAATCGCGCGACAAGCGTGAAAAGGAATCTGAAAACGGGGATACCATTGAAATACCTGTCGACTTCTTTGGGAAACTTGCTGAGATGCGGAGAGGGCGTGAGGGGGAATCCCCGTGAAGCTAGAAAATGGCTGCGCTAATCCCAACTAAAAAGTTCCAACAAATGGGCCTCAAGCTTGGATGCTACACCTTTGGTGCAAGCTGGAACCCGTTAAGCCCTCTTTGGGCTGCCCTGACTCCGTAATTCCTAGGTGGACACCAGCAATGAAACCACAACCGTCTGGCCCAAGGATTGAGGATGACTTGTGTGAGTCCAATTGCGTATTCCAAGTCAAGCTGCCATGCCCTCCATTGACGTGCAATGGCTCTTCCATGTACATCACCCGGAAGGCGTTGGTGGAGCGTCCTCTTGCCTCGCCAATGGGAGGCTGCAATTTCTCTTTGCCTCCGGGTAAACTCGTGGGGTCTCCTAGTTCTCAAAGAGACTGCTAAGTTTGTACATAGAACATGGCAACAAGGGACTTTGAATAAAATCAAACGAAGTGCTTGACGCAAAGAAAGCTCTTTTGACGGCCTTGGTAACTAGCCTTTGTGCAGTCAGACGATGAGGCATCGCACAAAAAAAAAAGCCCCGCCAAAGGTTGCAGCGTATCCGCGACCCTGCTCCAAATGCTCCGACTGTTGGTTGTTGCGGGGGACCCTTTCATGGCCTGTTGCCCCTTTGCCGATTCTTGCATAGCTTATGCAGGCACAGACCACGCAAATCTGCGCGGTTGCGCTGGCAAAATCTTGAAAAGGCGTGGTACTCGAGGCTTTCGGATTCTAGCCTCAATTCGAGCACAGTTGGCGGTTTTGACTCTCCTTTTCATCAGTGAGAGCCCTTGTCAACCCCTGTGCTCCTACCTACCTGTGTCTCTCTGCCAACAAAGCGGCAGTCAGGCGCGTGGCCGCGTGGCTCGTTTGTGAGCAGACAGCGCTTGCCGCTTACCAACCACTGAGCGGACCTTGAGTGCAACTCAATGTGATCTTCGGCCAGGCTCGGCCAAGCAAACGAGGCTTGTCTGACACGAGTCAGGAAGAGATGTTCGAACACGTCGCCAGAGGCAGCGTTGCGGGTGCAGACTTCTAGCTTGGTACCAGGTCGCAAGGTGCGATGCAAGGGGGAAGCTCGATACGGAGCACAGCCAAAACACGATTCGCATGATCAGATGCAACGAAACGACCCCCCCCCAGTGCCGTGCTGCCAATCTCTTCGAGGGCTGTGTGTGTCGTTCCTCTTCTCGGTAAAGTAAGGTCTCCAGCTTCGCGTCAATGTGCCCCATAGCCTCTTCGATCTGCCGGCTGATCTCCGACGAGTGAGTCGCCTTGGCAAAATGGCTTGCTTATTCCTCCACATCGTTCGACTCGCAGTTTCTAGACCGTCATACCACTTCTAGACCATCATACCAGAAGGTGTAAAAAATAAAATTTGAAAAAAATGGAGAAACAAAAACAAGTGGGATACCAAACGTGGATGGGGCTAATGGCCCGGCGAAAGCCGAAAGCTCCACCACCCTAAACTCAGTGACACCAAGCCCAAATCTCCAAATCGGTCTGCCAACCTGCAAGGCAGCACCATGTGTGAAAAGGAAAGGGGAAAGAAACCGAAAGCAAGGAACGGCAACTGGAAAGCCAGGGAAAGCAAATGGAGTGCAAGGGAAACCAAGGGAAAGGAAATGGAAAGCCAGGGCAAGCAATGAATTCCAAGGGACACCAAGGGAAACTCAGGGAAAGCGAGGTACAGCAAAGGAAAGCAAGACAGAATAATTGATAAAAATCAAGGGAAAGTAACGCAACGCCAGGGAACGCAAGGGAGAGCAAGGGAACCAAGGAAACCAAGAGAAAGCAAGGGAAATCAAAAAAGCAAGGAAACCAAGGGAAACCAAGGGAAATCAAAAAAGCAAGGAAACCAAGGGAAACCAAGAGAAACCAAGGGAAACTCAGCGAAAGCAAGGGAACCAGGGGAAGTGAAGGGAAACTATATAAGGGAAAGCCTTCGAAAATAAGAGAAACCAAGGGAAACCAAGGCAAAGCAAGGAAAGCAACGGAAACCAATGGAAACCCGTGGAAAGCAAGGGAAAAATGAAAAGAACATGGAACGCAATGGAAAGAAGCAAATGGAAAGCAATGCTGAATTCCAAGGGACACCAAGGGAAAGAAGGGAAACTCGTGGAAAGCAAGGGAAAGCAAGGGAATCTTGAGAAACTGTGGGAAACTCAGGGAAAGCCAGGAAAACCAAATGGAAAGCAAGGGAAAGTAAGGGAAAGGAGGAAAGGGGGAAGCATGCTTCACCAGCCAGCATCTCCGGCATCACCAGCCCGTCCCAGCATGACCACATAGCATCACCTACATTCCCAGCCTCGCCAGCATCATCCGCAACAGGCGCTCGCAAAACAACACGCTCTGCAAATCCAATCTCGGGACGACTTCCCAACTTTCGCTTCCCCCGCCTGCGACCTCTGTCGCTTTCCGTCTGTGTCAACAGTTGACCGCGCCATGAAAGCCCGAGAGTGAGTCTCTGTCCCATGTTCCGTGTGTTGAATCTTGCGTCTTGCGTCTTGTCTTTTGTCTGTGCGTGTGAGTGTTTGTGCCGAAGGTGAAAAAGGAAACCACCAAACGAACATCTGTATTTTGGCGGGATCCCCGATTTCGACATGCCCGCCTGGCACTTGGCTCGTGCAGCTCTCCTTGCTTTGGACATTGGGGTTTGGGGCAGCCCGCAGGCAGGACTCCTGCCTCTGGGCCTGTTATCCGCGCCTGGAGCCTGAAGGAACGAAGGAAGACACAAGGAAGGGATAGGTGTTCCAGACATTTTTGCTAAGTTTTCCAGTTTTCTGACACATAGGTTGTCCAGATCCCGAAGAATTGTGAGAATCAGAACTTTGCAACGTTCTGATCTGGATATCTGGACTTTGCAACAAGACATTTCTGGTTGGCCAGGGCGCAAGTGTGCCTGCTCTGCGCGTGTGATGGTCGATGTCAACAGGGAAGTGCGCCATATCCTGGTCCTGGGGCAGGGGCCGGCAGACTGCGCGACCGGTCGCCCGCTCCCACGCTTTGAGAGTGACTCAGCCCCCCAAACCCCCCCAACCAAACCCCCTCCCAACCCCCCCAACCCGAAACCCCCCCAAACCAACCCCCCTCCCAACCCCCAACCCGAAACCCCCCCAAACCAAACCCCAACCCCCCCCCCGAAGCAAACCCCCGAAGCGCAGCTCAGCGGCGCACGACTTGGCCAGAAGCTCTGGGTGGCCGCTGGCATGGGGTGCGGAGATCCTGACGTCCATTCGCACAAACCTGCCCCGTGGAAAAACAAACAATATGTCCAGTAGAGATACTGTGGATGGAACCACCATAGAGGAGTTTCTCCTTCTGGGTCCCGGCCCGCCCGCCCTTTTGGTCAACCCATGTTAATGAACGAAATCCATTTCGCACCACCTAAGAAACCCTGGTTTATGATGATTCTCTGGTAAATACCAGCAAACAATAGTCTAAATAGTTTCCGCATGGCTTCAAAGTGGGGCAGGATTTTGTCCATCCAGTAGATGACCTTTAAAACCAGAAGTCTTATTAAGCAAATGGATGCTGGCAATCGCGGGTATAACTTGAAAGTGGGGCGTGGCTCATGTGCCTTGGCAAATCAAGATGTCTCTGCCAGGCGGCTGGTCGTGCGAGCTTGAAGTCGTTTTGTCGAAGGAATCGTCGCCACTTGGCATCATGAAACCTTGCGGAGCTGCAGATACCGTGGATGGTTGCAAAATCCATAAACCGCACCACTTGGAAACCATGGTTGAAACACTTATTTGTTGGTCTTTGCAGGGGAATCATCCGAAACCAGGGTCTCTGAGGTGGTGCGAAATGGATTTCGCAACCTTCCACAGTATGAAGTGTGCTAGCGGGTGTTGTGCATGAGTGCTTCAGGAAATTCAGGGGATGGTCCAAAGACAACTGGCAGCCCGTTCATCATGGAAAAGGCCAGAGGTCCAGGCGAAAGGCACCCCCCCCGCAGGTAGGCTTGCAAGTTCCCACACGAACCAAGCACATCATTGGAGTTGGGGTGATACATGGGTATGTGTTTTTGACAAGGACTCGCCCCCCCCCCCCTGCCCAAAATTAGTGGCTAATAAAACCATCCAAGAAAGGGGCGCCCTTAAAAAAAGACAGACAAATATATACAATCATCTGATTTGTAAACTGGAACAGATTTCACGGTTCCTTCGCCGTGGCTTCTGTTTACCTTTTCCAGGTCAGCATGATGGCGACACAAATGAAAAACCGCCTTCTTTTTTCAGGAAGCTGCGATCGTTCCAAAGCACCAGGCGTTCTCCACCCCACCCCAAAGAACAAGTCAGGAAAGGGTAGACCGTTGCTTATGTGGTCCTCTGAAAAGAACTGCCTTTGGTGTTTGCAGAAAACTCCTAGACAAACAATTCTTCTGTTGGCTTCCCGAAGGCACACTTTCCAACTCAAGCCAAACAAAAATCACCTGCTCACGCCAACAAAAGCCCTAGGTTTGCTTAAAGAACAACTCTCATTCCAATCCCCCCGAAACCTTTGGGGAGAAAACTTCCACTTTCCAATCCTTCCAGGTGCCAAGCCGCCAGGACTGAAGGGGAGACATTTCGCGGAATTCTTCGGAGGAATCGAAACCACAACTTGTTGGTGACACTTTTATTCAGTATAGACCGCCTTTCTGTCCAAGAAAATTCGGTGGGCTTTGTTTGTTAGGTGAATTGTTGGTAGACCCTTTAGCGGACAGAACTCAGCGCACGAGGAAGTGGTTCCGAGTCTCACAAACAGCTTGGCGCCCCGGCCTTCTGGCTCGCTCTGGCCTTTGGTGAAGGCCCTTAGCTCGTGGCCTAAGGTCTCCAGCTGCGTTCCCAACCTCACGAACCGCTGGTCCGAAAGCTCCAGCAGGTCCTGGCGCCCCGAGACGCTCCACAAAAGTGCGGGCGGAGACACCCACGTCTGTTTTGCGATGGTGGTTCTGAGGGAGAAAGCAAGGGAACCGGGGGTTAAACCGACGGGGAACTGCTGGGAAATAGACATATAGATGTTTCCCGAATCTAATGGTTGCTTTAGTGATGCCAAAGTGGGCATTCGATCTTGGTGTAGGCGCCAGCATGCCGCCCAAGCGTCCCAGTGGACCCTTTTTTTGGACGCGGAGGGCGAGTGGAAACTCCCATGCCTAACCTAGGATAGGACACGAACGACCTTGATTATGTTAGGAAACCCCGGTTTTCCCAGATTCTAATGCTGTGTCACTTTCAAGGGGAGTCCGTCACAGAGACAACCCGAAGCCAACTGTTTCACACACACACACGCAAAAAGCAGAATGTATGGAACCTGCCGCGGCAAAAGGGTGGCTGGGCGAGCGCAACATGAATTGCAGCATCCCCAAGGTTTCTGCTCCAACTCTCCTAAAAAAAATGGGGGGGGAACCTAAACACCTTCCAAACACAGGGTTCTAAAAGTTCTTGGGAAAAGGCAAAACAAATTGAAGGACCAAGCTTGGGTCCGCCAGCGTCTCAAACACACGCCACACATACCCCTGTCCACCGGTGGCTGTTGGGCCGGACATGGGCGCAACGCCGCAAGTCGACCGACATGCTTCTAGCGCCAAACAGCTGCGACCTCAAATAGGGGAACAAATCTGACATTGAATTTACAAAACAAAACATATTTCGTCTTGTTCGGCCAAAAAGCAGGCTCGGAGCATTCCTTCACAGGTCCCATATTGTCCATTTGAACATGACGCCTAGGAGTTTCAGTTGTTTTTAGGCAATTATTGCTTATGAACGGAAAAGGGTTGCTATGAACGCACAACTTAGCAACATTGAAGCACATGGCTGGTGACTTGTGGTGTGCCGTGCGTTTGTGGACACGGTTCGAACAATTTTGAAGCTCACAACCTAGCTCAGACAAGTAGAAGCTACTGTGAAAACGCAGAGGCACAAACTAGCCGGACAGAGCGCACTTCAGATTGACAGAAAGGATGTATCTGACCCCTGCTGCACCGTGCACGGTCTGTCTGAGATGCCCCACGACACACTGACGCTCCTCCTGCATATGCATTGACTGCATCAGGTTATACTTGATGAAGCGCGGTGCCTGTGAAAAGGTTGGCTCTCATGCTGCACTGCGCACTGAAATGTACAAACACACGCACACACACAAACAAACAAACACACACACACAGACACAGACACAGATACAGATATAGATACAGATACAGATGTAGATATAGACATAGATAGAGATACAGACACAGACACAGACACAGACACAGACACAGACACAGATACAGACAGAGACAGAGACAGAGACAGAGACAGACAGAGACAGAGACAGAGACAGAGACAGAGACAGAGACAGAGACAGAGACAGAGACAGAGACAGAGACAGACACAGACACAGACACAGACACAGACACACACACACACACACACACTATCCCTCTCTCTTTATCTCGCTCTCTCACACACCCGCATACTCCCATGCATGCAAATACTTTCTTAGCACAACCATTAAATTTACATAGTGATCACCACATCCCCCATGTCTCCAATCCAAGATTCCGTCTTGGAGTCGCGAGCCCATCGGCTGAGCGGGCCAATAAATTCGGACACCTGCAACGTGCCCGAATGGTCAGCGTCGATCATCTGAAAAAGCCTGAGCGCTCAGTGGACTCACGAAACAGCGGCGCCAAGGCAATTACCATCCCCTTCAAAACACCAAGCACTTGTTTCAAATAGAGCCCCAAGTGGGGCTCTGTATGATTGAACGTGCTTAGACACTTGTCCTTCATGGATCCCACTTGCTGTTTTCAAGCTCGGGGGATCCCATGGGCCAACTCTCGATGCCAATGCCAGTGAAGTGCGTACAAATCCATGCGCCGAGCAACTGCTGTAAATCACTCTCGTCAATGTCCATGACCCTCAACCTGCTTCGGAAGACGGCGTCATTGCGAGCGCCATCGATCAACTCCTCAGCGCACTTCGCGTACGGCATTGCGAGGATTGTGTGCTTGGGGAAAAATATTCGCGGGTGCTCTAAAGCACCCGAGTCCAAACCGAGTTTCCCTGCGAAAGCGCTAGGAGACTAGGCCAGCGTGTTTAGCTGCACCTGTGAGCATTGCTAGCTCTAATATTTCCGCCTCTCGCTTGCTGGATTGGGCTGCTGCATCCTTCACAGGACGAAACAAGACTGACACCATGTAATTCTCCAAGGAGAATATGGAGAAATATGGGATTCAAATAAGTCTTTTTCGGCAATTTGGGTACCTGTTTCCTTTCATACTCGCTTAGCCACTGGTGTGAAGTAGCCCTCGTCACTAGAGGGTCTTAACAGCCTTGGGAAAAGAACGTCTGCCAGTTTGGCTCAAGCCTGCCAAGCTTTATTGACGCCACAGCCCAACAGATAACACATGTTCACCCAAAGCCTGCCAAACTCCAAAATTGAAAAAGAAACCATCTCCAAACATACAAGGAAAACACAGGATTTCTCAAGTAGCAAGGCAATTGAAATCCAATTGGACCGAGACCCGAAAAAGAACCTAGCCATCGACTCCGAGGCGCGCTGAGGCTGAGCTCCCCGGTGCCCGTCTTGTCAATACGGTGGAAGACCTCCTCGAGCTTCTCCCTGCGGTAACCCGAGGACGCAAAGGAGCAAATCGCCCCGAAATCTGAAGACTTTGGGTCATGTAATAGGTACCCTCCCTCCCACAACTGACAGGGGGTCCCTTCAAACGGAAATTAATCTTCCAGGTACCTCCCAGGTGCCATGTTAGTTGGAGAAAGGGTAACCCCAAACTGGGGACGCTGGTAAGTAGAAGCATGGGCTAAAAATTGCGGCCCCCCTCAGTGGTTTGAAACTTTGACCCATACCAACATGGATTCAACCACTACTTTGCGATTGAGAAGTAGGATTCCCCGCAATTTAGTGCCCTTTGATTCAAGAACTGGGGGTTGCAACATAGAGGAAGGAATTGGGGACATTTCCTTACAAGGCCTGCTTGACAAACGTAAGCCCACATTGAAAGCGGCTGCAAAAAATAACATGCTCAGTTTGAGCGCGTAATACGCCTTGTTAGCCTTCATTGCAATGTACGCGGCTTCTGTGCCTAGCCATATGATAAGCTCTGATTGGGGCTTAGCTTAAGGTTCGATTGGGCTGAAGTTCGGGCCTGACCTAGGCTGGAGACTTTATTGAGGACATGTTCGCAAGAATAGACTCCCCCCCCCTGCCTTCTGTGACAATCCAAGGATGCGGGAAAATGCGGGGCAACGAACGCGCTGCCGAAAGGTCGCAAAACATCAAGGGACACCTGAGGCACAAATCAAATTACCTCCGCCCTCACCCCAGTCCCTCCAAAATGCATAGAATTCTGACACTTTGGCCACATCTCCGCCCTTCGCTTCGTGCGACACCGGGGAATTCCTTGAATGGGTGGAGGCGGCTGGTGAATTGTTGCAGTGGGGGCTTGCCTGTTGAGACATGGGCAAGCAATTGGCAAACATGAAGGACACACGAAGCGTCCAACCCGGTCTAGCGGTGGACATTGTGTTTGTCTCATCTACAAAAATAAACGCCGAGGTTCTCAAGGCAAGGGAGGTTGCGAACCTGGGCTAAGCTGGGCTAAGTTGAGCAATTTGATTTGTGGCTGGTGAGGTATATTGTCAGACGCTCATGTCACAAACATCCCCATAAAAGAAAGCGCCCCTCATCCCCAGCTTTCTCGCGTTGGCACAGGCCTGTCTCTCTCTAGCTCGGTTTCCAGGTCCTCTGCCAAAGCTTCCACGTCGACTTGTCTGGCTTCTGCAAAGGTGTCCACCACAACCTAGGCAAACGCGCGCGTTCGCTTTTTCCCACCCCGCTCTGTGAGCTCGGGGTCGGGGCGTGCCCGGCCCCCGCAAAGCCTCACGCAAGCCAATCGTGGCTGGGCCCGCCCACGCGGCCTCAGGCTGGGCTTCATCTGCCTGTCACAGGCTCTGTCACATCTGCCTGTCACAGGCTCTGTCGGGCGATGCGATCCGGGTTGTGCAGCTCAGGTGCCACTGAAAATCTAACAACCCCAAGCCTGTCGCGTGAGAAAGAAAAAAGAGAAGAAGAAACGGTTCCGAAAGCGAACAGCCATGAACCGCCATGCAAAAATGGTGTTGTTGAAAGCCCAAGGTATTGCTTATTCAAGTGCCCATGTCAGGGTGTCACCAAAGTGTTGACCTTTTCAAACTTTGACATGCCCGCTTCTGCACTCGCTGGAACACGAAACAACATGAAGGCTGCTTGCTGGCTTCGCTTGGAGGCTGGTTCAAATCTCCCCATTCCCCCGTGCGGCCCGGAATTCCCGGGGCCTGGAAGTTCACAAAAGCTTGTGGCTTGTTCTGACTTCACTTCCGAAAACCTGCAACCACGATGGCAAGTGACAGCAACAATGAGGTTCAGGACGCCAAACACGATGGTCAGCTGGGATCCCACAAATATCATGACCGTGGCGGGAGCTGCATGTATCACCGGCACAGCGATTTTGCCCCAGCTGTCACCAGCTATCACAGTCTGAAACAGCAGCAAATTGGCTTCCATCACCTGAGTGCCGAAAAACCACATCTCAAAACCTCTAGGAGCACATCCTCTGATGTGGCTAGTATGGGTCTGGGAGAGAGACTGTAGCCCACATGACGCATTCTGCAGAACGCCGGGGTTCTGTCGCAAATATGGAACTCCCAAAATGAGGTAGTTCCCTTTGGCCTTTAAATTCAGCCCAAAAACATTGCACACCCACATGGATCTACACAGCTATTCAGCAGCCACGTGACTGTTGTCGTTGATTGCAAGCATTCTTTGCATTCCTCGAAAGTGCCGAAATTATCGTTCAGCTCGATCACAACCGGGTTAACAAACTCCACTATCAGCATGGCAAAGGCCGTCATCACAATGAAGCAAAGCAGGAAGGACCACAATAAGGTGCGAAAGACTGATGCCATCCTCACTTGCCCGAACAACCTAGAAATAAACAGGCGTTGGTCCAAAAACTCCAAAAGGTCAAACAGTTGATTGGCTTCGAGCAAAGCATCATTTTGATAAGCTTGTAGAGTTCCTTGAACATCCGCACTCGCCTGAGAAGCTTCACAGTGCGGACGATGCGCAGCAGCCGGAAGATGCGCAGCAAGCCAAGTGGCAGTCCCCTGTCTGCGTGCATGGCGGCAGTGACAATGACTTCCGCCCAGCCGCAAAGCACGATGATCGTGTCAATAACACCCAACCAGTCCTTGCACACATCGAGACCTCTGGCGAAGATAGAAAGCAGTAGTTCAGCAGTGTAAAGGCCAAGGCACAGCTTGGACAGCAAGAAGTAGACGTATGGAAGATCGGTACTGGCTGCCCTAGCGTCCACTGCTGCACATGTAAGGAAGCTATCTGCCGCAACAACGCAGCCCATCAGGTTTACCACTATGTAGCTTTTCAGAAACCTTCCTATCTTCTTCTGGAGCGTCTCGTTGGTCTCTCCACTGATTTGTTCGCGGATGAAGTCTGCGTTGACCCCCGGACTCCTGAAGCTTTTACGATGACCGGCATCGCTGGCGTTGCTGCTCACTTCCTGCGCCACAGACCAAAGCAAAACAATGCAAGGATTGAAATACAAGAGATGGATGCTTCTTAAATAGACAACTCCCTTTTGGAATGCTGTTCAACCCAACAGGTCAATCAAATCTGGGGCGACGAATTTAGGGACGAACACCAAGCAAAAATCGTAGCACTCTGCCAGGTGTCTGTCGACCAGCGCGGGGAGCCAGCGCCAGCGCACGGGGAAGCAACGCGCGGGGAGTCGCCTTCTGCCATGGCTGATTGCTAAGCAAACCGGGAGCCTAGAGGTTCAGACAGTGCAAGCACAAAACTGCGCAGCCCATTGTGCAACAATCTGAGTGGACTTTGCCATGAAACAAGTCACCCTGCCTGCCGTTTTCTTGAGCGCACACACACACAGAGCATATGGATCTGTCCAAAAAGGGAAGTCCTCAACATGAGTGAACGCTGGTGGAAAGAGTGTCCCCAATCTTCAAATGCCCAAATGCGGGGGTGCGCCGGTGGTCTGCACTGGCGGTGTCCGGCGTCCGGCTTAAGGCTGCGCAACGTTGGCAGCTGCGAATCGCCCAACTCCAGGGCGTTTGATTTGGCAAAAATACGACGCATGCTGATCGGCATCTATCTGCCGAGCTATGGTTGTTGGCCATTGCGGGAAAGGACCAGAAAGTTGTTTGCTTACACCTGCATTTGTCCGCCACTGTTGCTTTAGGCGTGGGAACGGCTACCCTTCCTCTCTAATACCTAACAAAAGGTCGCTCGAGGAAAATGGCGTCAGTGCCTCCAGTTTATAGGGGAACCAAGAGGAAAACCCCGCCTTTTGAGGTTCCAACTATTTTGTTGGTGACTATCTCAACCCAATTTTGGGTTAACCAAAACCTAACACCAAAAAAATCCCACAAACCTAACCCAAAGTGTTGGGGTTCCCCCGATTTTTTGTTGGTGCCAGGGTAACTCTCTCAACCAATCTCCGCCTCCGCGGAATTTCGGCAAGCGCGCCTAAATTCAGCGCCCAAGCTTCCGCCAGAAGCAGCACATACTGGCGCCATGGCATACTGAGACCACTTGACGGCGGATGTAGGTGGCTCCTCTTTTGAAGGGTACCCTTTGTTTGGTGTTGTTTTTGAGGGGGAAGTCACAAGAAGAAAAAAAACACCATCTTTTAAACGGAAGGGGTCCCAAAAAAGTGACACACCCATGTGCCTGATGGCGCCGTCCCCATTGGGATTACTCTTTCAAAAGAGCAATGGTTGAAAAGAATGGGACATCAATGCTAGAAGGCTCCGGTCCATGTATATGTGGTGGGGTGGGTTGAAACATGAGAGCCCCATATGGATGTGCCAAAGCCGCGATGTCTGAGAAAGGGACCTTACGTCACCATTATGTTGCCATAGATTCGGCAGAGGATTCAGCGTCGCAAAGCTTCACCCAGTGAGCATCCGGACAACAGAGCTCGCAAAGTGATGGAGGGCACGCGCACACACCACACAAAAACACACTCCACCCGTGTCAAAAGGCGGTGTTGCCAACCAGCTTGACACAGTTGGTTGTCTGATGTTGCCAAGCAGCCGTGACAACTAGTTGAATCCAAGACATTCACAATGCAAAACAAGTGCACTCAGGGAGTGAATTCGACCTCGAGTATTACCCATGGTCCCACCAAGCCCCCCAAAAAACAACAGTGTTGGTCTAGTTTAGTCTTCCCAACGAGAGGCATTGCGTTTGCTGGGACTTGACATCGAACCTGCTGCTGGGTTCCATGTCCATGTTGACCCAATTTAATCAACCGCAGTGTATTAATATGGGGGGGTGTTCTCCTCCAAAAGTCGTTTGATTCCCCACTAAACCCAGCAACACCCCCATACAGTGGATGGACGAAATCCTGCACCACCTGACAAACCATGGTTGAAGCCACAGTTTGCTGGTATTTACAGCGGAATCATCGCTCCAGGGTTTCTTAGGTGGTGCGAAATGGAATTCGCAACCATCCACAGCAAGAATAAACCAACATAAACTGCTAAAGTCGTCTCATTCCCCACTAGACCCAGGGACACCCCCAAAGCAAAACAAACCAAAGCTGGGGTTGATTGATCGAAGGGCTACCTCTCAGGGCCCGCACGCCGTACAGGCCCGTCTTCATGGCTTCCTCTGCGGCCAACTTCTCCCCTTCCATCATCTTCCTCGCTGCGAACCGGTCGCCGTTTGGAGCTCTTGTTTTGAAGGTAAGATGGATCATGTCAACTCACTTCCTGTGTGGATTGGCCCGAGAAAAATGGTTTGGGAGTTAGCTAAATGGTTGGAAATCTCAGTTGCAAGTGTTTAACTGGGGGTTTTTGGGTGGGGCTAGCGACCACATAGCCAACTCCCAGCCCATCCAAATACCCTTTTCAGGTTCATTTGAATGGCAAACAAACGGGACATCACAATCACTTGTGTATATCCCTGTATTTCTTGACACATACCCACTTGAGCAGTGCCCCAAAACATTGACTTATTGGTGCTACAAGTTTATAAGGCCCGACGACAACCTCTCTGAAAGCAGAGTTGACCACTCCAGTTGGCCCACAAGGCCCCACTCTTGGGCGGAAGGGCTCCTTGTCTGATCCTACGCTTATCCATAGATACCCAGCCCTTGGGGTCCATGCAAATTGATGTTTAACGATGTACCCTCCATCCAAAGACGCAGCATTGAACAAGCCCTTTACTCAGCCCTTCCAACTTTTATGATCGGCTTTTAACATAACCACTATGTACGCAGGTGCCTCATTTCCCCTGCCCAATGCTATGTGATACACATGAGGGGTGTGGGTACGTGGCTGAGCCGATCTTCGTGCCACGCGTTGGTCATTTAGGGCCCCTCACTTAAATCCTCAAAATTAAGCAGCTAAATGGATGGAACTCTTGAGCCAACCGCTTGAGGTGACTCTTAGAACATCATGAGCCAAAGCAAGCCAAAGTGGTCGATCCCAATGCAGAACCTCCGACGAAATGCTATGTGGACGATCTAAACTTCGGACATGTTTATTCACTTCAAACTGCTCATCTAGCATGCGCGTGAAATGAGTTATTTGGATATCTAGCACCTTCACGTTCGGCCGTCCCAATTCTCCATCACCTTTCAAGCATTACTCCAAGAGAAAGTGATTCATTGGACCGAAAGGCGATATTTAAAAAACAACCACCGAAAGGGCGTTAACTTACAGTCTAAACCTCCAATACCCATGGCACAAACAAACGGCTCACCTTTGTTGGCGGTAGTTGGTTTTGAACCTTAAACTCAGTTGTTCAGTGACCCTGGAAAAAAAGGAACCCTTCTTGCGGAAGACCATTTTTAGCGGGGCAGCCACCCCAAAAAAAGGAAAAGGGTGCCACTGAACAACTCAGTAAAGGGAACCTCCCTCCGATGATTTCGGAAAAGCACGCTGCTGGCCATCTGGGATCATGGGAAAATCGAAGTGTTTGTGTCTCTTCAAGATGTGTTTTTGTGGTTTGGGGTGGGAAACCCCATTTAAGTCCCCTCTACACAAACTTCAAGGGTTCAAATCCAAATCCAAACAACAAATCCAAACCACCAATTGACAATTGAGGCTTGCCTGATAAACGGGTCTTCCCAGGAACTGGGGGATGGGAATGCGGTGGGGGGCCCAAATAGGGGCTAAAGAATTAGAACGGGGGAACCAAATTGAGTGGTGGGGGAATAAGGATTGTTTCTTGATTGACCCCTCAGCCCTTGCCATGGTGGCAATATAGTAAAGTAATCTCCCCATCTGCTTAAGTCGCCGAGAAAGAAGAAAATCATATATTTCCAGTACCGATAGGTTCTCTTTAAATCAACAAATCCGGGTGTGCCTTTTTTAACGGGACCCCAAAATGGTGATGAAGCTTCATAGCCGTTTCACCATCAAAATCAGCCTAAGTGGTGGGCGAAAGGGAAACAACCGATTCCAGCTTCTGACTTTGATTGCCCCCGCAACCAGTCAAAGTAATGACCCTAGTGAAAGAGCTACTACTCCCACCCCGCAGGAAGAATAAACATGTGGCTCGTCTTTTTGTGAGGCGAAGGGTACCCTTTGTGTTGGTGGTTTCAGAGGAACCCTTTGGTGGACATCGCTTATAGGTGGGGATTCATATTCACCGATCACTTTTGAGCTGGTTCCTTGTAAAAAATCATGGCCATATCATGAGGCCCAGGGTTCCGCTTTTTGACTATCCTAGGGTAGACTTAAACCCAGGGGTGGCTCATTACCCCCCAAAGGGGAAACTCTGGGTTTAAGCCTATCTTGGGGTAGTCAGAAAGTGGAACCCTGAGGCCAGGTTCACCTCGCAGCTGGGGCGCCCACTTGCCCCCAGGTGTTGGGCCGAAGGCCTTCACAGCCTAGGTACGTGGTGATCCGTAGATGGTCGACCGGGTTTGGGGCTTGGATGGTCCGGGAGTTAGCTAAGTGGGTAGCCCCCAGTGAACCCCCAGTGAACCCCCAGTGGACCCCCAGTTAAACCCTTGTCACTGGGGTTACCAACCATTTAGCCAACTCCCAAACCATCTCCAACAGCCTCTGTCCAACCAAGTGGAAAATCGCCTTCCCAAATCCTCCTGTCAGCTCTCACGAGTGTTGGAGGGAGGATAGCCCAAACCGGTTTGGAAAGCTTCGGGGTCATGATCTTTGGTGGGGATGTTGGGGCTTGATTCCAGGTTTGGAAAGCCGAAGACTTGCCAATCGCCAATCGCCTGCGGCCAATTTGGACCAGAAACAGATCATGACAGACCAAGTGACCCAAGTGGCCGGAATAGAAACGAAGCTTGCTGTCAACCTCGACACAAGCCGCAGAACCAAACTCGAGTTGGGCAACTTGAGCAAACAGCTGGAAGAATCAGAAGAAATTATCATAAAGGGACCTCGCCTGGTGAGCTTCTCATTTGTGTTTGCTCATTGGGCAGGAATCAGACAAGGGGAATGAGATGTATAAACCCCATCTATAACCTCACTGAGGCACTTGCTGCTATGCCGTGCGGAAGGTCCTCCTACTCCCTTCGCCCCAAAGACCTCCTTGTGTATGGTCTCCAAAGCTTTTCAGCACAAGCGAGCCAAAATCAAAACTTGGCATTGCAATGGTCTACCCGAAACGATGTAAACAAATATCACAAGGGCGGATATCCGCACCGCACCCATTTCTGGTTGGGACTATCCCTCACTAACCTTCATATACCCAGGTTTTGAGCAAGTGGCTCGAGTGCTGAAACTCAAAGCGAAACAATACGA